AGGTATTGCTGTCTCATCGGTTCCTTAATTGTCTTGGAAATAATTTGTGTTGTGGTTGTTGTTTTTTGGAGGAGGACAACAACAAATGAATTTTAGAGATGATGTTCACTTGTTGCAGGTAAATAAAACCAACAAATATTTCTTTCCAACATTTATGTAGTGTGGAATGTACCGATGATGTAGATGGTGTACTTGCAAATGCCCTGGGCAACATTTACCTGCTGATTTGACTTTGACTGTTATGACATGCATTGATTGTGTTCAGTATAAAGGATGTTTGCTTGGCTAAAGAATGTACCATGTAGGCGTACATGCACTAGAGTGTTAAATCAAACATTTCACCCTGACTGATAAGACACCAAGAACTTGGGTAGAATGTAAACATTTCTGGACACATTTTGTGATTTTTTTAAAAACTTTTCAGGCAATATTTTCCAGACTTTTAGATGGGAATATACATATGTTATTTACTAAGTGAATTTAATTAAAAAGACAAGAAAGATGGTCAAAACAACTTTTGTTTCCGATATAGAGTTGTCGACGTAGAGGTGTCATAGTCCAAGTGGTTTAAGCACTTGACTTGAAATGCAAAGGTCGTGGGTTCAATTCTTGACACAGTACTAATGTCTTTTGTTTGACAAGGCATTAATTTACATTTGTCACTCCATACCCAGGAGAGAAATGGGGACCTGGTAGGACGGCGAAAGCATTTGTGTAAGTAATTGGCACATGCCCTCATGTGGTAGAAATAATCCCCAGGTAGTGGAGATGGTGCACATTGTGCTTGAATGAATCTGATGACCGAGGTAATAATATCTGTAAAGCACTTTAGTGTATTTCGTATTAAGTGCTATATAAATCCAGAATTGTGTTATTATGATGGGGTCATCCCAGTAGACCAATAATAGCTAGCTCACGAGACCGACGTTGACAAAAGGTTCACTAAACCGATAGCCTATGAGATCAACAAAGAAAGAAATACAGAAGAAAATATAGTAGGAATTAAGGCCCACGAGACTGACCATCCTCATAAGGGTAAATGTGAATTGTTGTTCTTGTGTGCTGCCGGACCAGTGAACCCTCAAAACAGTTGGAAGAAGACAGACCAGATAAATCAAGTACAGGGTAGATGTTTTAAAAACAACCCTTTCCACCAAAAACACAGATGTTAAATTCATAATAAAGTATTTTTTGGGCCAATTGCAATTGTAATCATGCGATACATATAAAAAAAGAATGCCAAGTGAATGTTTTTGTGCAGGTTTAAAGTTAGTGTAATTAATTTGCAGATTAATGATAATAATAATATGTCCATTTAGATAACGCAGCTACTATACAAAAATTAAACTCTACTGCACTTATTACAGACTTTCAACTACTGTTGAATCTCTCTTTAATATCTTTGTACACTACTCGTCCTGTCCCGGTCTTGTTCTCTCTTTATCTCTCTGACACCCCCACCTCTGTGTCTCTTTCCATCTCTCCTTCCTCCCTCCCCTCTCACCTTCCTCATTCTTCCCTCCCTCTCTCCTTCCTTAATCCTCCCTCCCCTTCCTCCCTCCCCTTTCCCCCTCTCTCCCTCCCCTTCCTCCCTCCCTCCCTCCCCTTTCTCCCTCCCCTTTCTCCCTACCTCCCTCTCTCCTTCCACCTCTGTCTCCCTGTCTCTCTCTCTCTGACTCTCTCTCCAGACTCTCTCTCTCTCTCTCTCTCTCTCTCTGTGTGTGTGTGTGTGTGTGTGTGTGTGTGTGTCTCTCTCTCTCTCTCTCTCTCTCTCTCTCTCTTTCTCTCTGTCCTATTGTCTAGATAGAGGACCTCCTTGTTGAGTCAATTCTGAAATATTCACCTTTTGCACACACATGGCTGACTCCTTTGAATAGAATCAAGGCTGCTGGAACAATAGATATGAGAAGAGAGATATCAGATTGATAAAGGCACTCTCTAGACTCTGTGCTACAAAACAAACATATACCACAGTCGCAGTCCAATCTACGCTCTACAGTTCCTTTATATTCCGCATGCTAATAAGTGGGGCGTGTATATGTTTTGTTAGTGTTCTACTAACGTGTATCTGTCCGTTATCACTTCTTAAAACATTCGAGCCCGAGGAAAGACTCGGTGATGAATGATGCTCTGTTTCAGTCATCATTAAACAGGATTAATCCATTCAATTTTCATGTTGTATGGAACCGAAATTGGACGTAGTAATTGGATTATACACAGATACGTGTTTGATTAATTGACAACCATGTCTTTTATGTGGTAAGTTCATGTGTGTTTGCTATCATGTGTGGGTGTATGTTGTAAAGGAACGCATCGTTACCTGTATATCAATTTTTTTTCTCATGATTACCAATTGTCAAAGTCAAATGCATACAAAGAATTTGTTTTGCTTTAAGACCAGTAGGGCATTAACTTGGTGTTGAAGTTCATGTACAGTATGTGTATATATGTTATATACCGGTATTTATTAACAAATTTTATGCCTTTTTGGCTTTAATTAAACAGACGATCTAATCATTGATGTATGCATGCCCATTCCCATCACAAAGTCTTCTGCATTTAGGGTACTGCCGATGTGTATTGTGTATTAGAGCTCCATCAGACAGGCTTGCTTTATAGATTATCTTTCAATAGTATTATGGCAAAATTCAAGGAAAAAATGTAAATAAATGCTCCATGATTCAGCCTTATTGTACCATGAATGCTGTGATTGAAGTTCACTGTAGCAAGCATATATTCATAACACTTGAGATTATAGACGAGCCCTTCAGATAGCAATCAATGTGGTCTGCTGTAGGTAAAATAGACTTTCCTGTACCATTTAATACATTCCAGAGAAAATGTAGCAGAATATATTTTGTAAACATATATAGCGTACGATGACTTTGTTTAGGGTAAGAGTACATGTAGTTATGGTAATTATTTTAAAAAATAGATTAAAATGTAATTAATACATTAATATCTGTTCGAAATCAAAGGAAACCTTGACGTAGAAAATGGATCTACATTTTTCTCCTGATTTTCTTTTTCTTCTGATTTTCTTTTTCTTCATTGTTTTGAGGATATTACCGGTGATAGTAATTAGTTTTAATGTCGAAACAATATTTTTAAATATTAACTGAGCCAGACCTTGTAATTAATGTTAAACACCACGCTATGTCTGTACACCACATTAGGAGTCAGGAGACACTAACTCCAAAGTCCAACCCATCCCTGTATACATACAACATAAAAACTCAAATGGAAATGAGCTAAGCTTTGCCCTACTATTCTTAAGTCAAAACTTTCAGTCGCTTTTAAAGTTTTAAGCAAAATCTGGGTTTGCTTGGCTTGAGGCATAGTACCAAATTCAGTAGATGTTTCAAACAGGAAGTTCTATTGTATGAAAAACTATGAATTGAAAGAATGAATGCAAATCACTAAATTTGTCCTATGGGTAACAGTGTTTTACAGACTAACAGAGACTACATGTACTGCCCGGACTGTTTCCGTGTCCCCCATTACACATGTACCTGTATGTAAATTGTAAAGAATGTATATCATTTTTGAAACTTTCCTGTTTATTGAAAACAGTTTTATATATTTGTAAAAATGCAAAAGAAAAAGAAAATCAAACAGAAATAAATAAATCTAAATCAAATCAAATGTCTAAATTATGAAGTGTTAGCATTAAAATAAATTGAAAGTAATGAAGTTATCAACAAAAGAAAATCAAGGATACACTAGGTCACTAACATCAAACTGATGTGTGGAAAAGCTATAAAATTTAAAAAAAAACAGGTTGGAATAAAATTGAAAAACCAGATTAAAAAATGGCAACACTTTGTAGGCCAGTTCTCAGGTCCAAATATAACTTACATTCAGTGGAAACAGAGAAAAAGAAATAGGCAAGAAAGTTTTAAGAAAACCAGACTACATTTTTTATCATTTGTTATCATGTGTTTAAATATATGGAGATAACTATCTCATAGCAACACATGTGTTTCTGACGTCATTCGCTTAGTCCGCGTGAGGCGTTTTACATAATTTGGTGTCATGCATGTTTTTAAATATTTTTTCCCCCAAGAAAGTGATTTCATCTTGCCTTTACCATATTTATTGGTGATAACATATTTTGAAACACTACTCTGTGAACTCTAATATGGAATAATTCAACTGTATGAAACAGTTTGAACTTTGTATAAAATATATAGTAAAGACTTACTGGTACTATTTATTAGAATACAAACTTAGAAAATATCTGCGTAAAATACAGAAAATCCAGTTGCAAACATTCCTAGGATGATGTGGGAATTTTTATTAAGTAAAATAATGAAGCGCATAAGAAATAGTGAAACTGAAATAATGACATCACATATTTTTGTTTGTCTTCATTTAATAAATATTTTAATCAATGTTGATGTAATTAATTTGTTTTAATCTAATCTATTAGTTATCTCTTTTCCTACAATAACTTTCCTAGTTCTACTCTTGTTGAATATGGATTCTACATGTACATGTGAGATGATTTGACACCAATTGACATGGTTTATTTAGGTTTTTAAGGAAAAAAATCTAAAAACTTACTGGTAATTGTGATTATTTTTTTCTACATACAAACTATTGAAATTATTCATACATGTAGGCCTACACATGTAAATAATGTAAATAATACTTATAGTCAACATCATTTTGAACTGATTTAGCTTACTGTAATATGTGAAGTATTTTGGCTGGTCTATAATTCTTACCAAGCTTTATGTGGTATGTAGATTTGAAGCTCAAATACTAGTGAGTAAGTATAGTAAGTAGGAGAGAAAACATAAACTGAATCCCTTCTTTATTTGGTCTATTGTATGTTGAAGACCGGTCCTTATTGTTCCGATTTCTTTGCATTCTCTATTGTTCCCTCCCCTAGATCTCTCCCTATTCAAGTCAACAGAACTCTGTACTCTTCTGAGCTGCTGTATACATTATACTGGTCTTCCATTGTTGTATGGGGTGTATTCATGCAAGGGGTATATCTTCCCTTCATCATTATAATAGTGGGCAGGGCACTGTATGATGGGTCTGTTTCACTTTAATACAGCAGACTCTCTCCTCAGCTGAGATGTTTACTACGGATATAATTTGTGAACTTCTCTCCTTGCAGTGCACGGGAGTGTAGGAACATTCTTGAGTGTTGTTTTTCACCTTCTGTAAAATGCTTTGATATAGTGTATATATCGCTACCCTGCTGTACATTTCGAGTTGGTTTGTTTCTTGTGAAATATACATGTGTGACATTCTTGAGTGCAGTGTCCATTACAGCAGGGGAAAGTTCAGATTTGGCTTGTTGATTGCTAGCTGTGCTTGATACTTACCTCCTGCAGAGTATATACTTTGAGTCATAGTGCATCATGTAAGGAGTGTCCGACTCTGAGAAACACAAAGAAATTACCATGGAGTGCTGTGGAAGCTGTTTTCCAAGGTTGGTAGTTGAGAGGGGGTTTGGCTTTCTGTGTTTTGAGGGCCGCTCTTACATGTAGTTCACTTTAAAACAGTGAAATAGTCAAACAGCATGTTGATAAGGTATTTATACCATGTATATTGAAGATAATCTTGAATTCTGGCGGTGGAACTGCATGTCAAGAAACAAGAGAACTACATGCAGCTGGCCTAAAATAACTATTCAGTGTTTGGATCAGTGAAAATATAAACAATAACACTGTATGGGCTAGTGAAAGTGCAATGGGAGCTAAAGCTGTTTTGTGATTGCATTTAAGAGAGAGATTGAGAAAGCCATTTATGTGATTGCATTTGTGGGAGGAAGAAAGCTGTTTTGTGATTGCATTTAAGAGAGAGATTGAGAAAGCCATTATGTGATTGCATTTGAGGGAAGAAGAAAGCCGTTTTGTGATTGCATTTGAGAGAGAGAGAAAGCCATTTTTGTGATTGCATTTGAGAGAGAGAGAGAAAGCCATAATCATTTTCTAGAGAATGGCCTGCATGCAATTCACTTTGTGTTTGTTTTTACTTGTTTTATTGACGCTCAGTGTAACAAACACTTTTGATGCACCGTGTAAAAATTTTTTTTTAATGAATATAAGATAACAGACCTATATTCCTCCCACCCAAATAAGTTAAACATTTATTTGGATGTGTAAAAATATTTGTATTATAAGTTATTACCTTAATTACTGATAGCAAATCCAATTAGTTCGAGAGCATTGGATGAACGCCTGTCTCTAATTTGGATGTATATTTTCTTTTAGCTTATAAGCCTAATTAAGTATTGTCTTTCTTGTGAAAATTTGTTAACCAATAGGCCATTATTGTAATGTAATCACATTTAATGCACAAATCTGTGTTAATTGCCTCATTACAAATTATTTCATTTACCTGTTATGAATAATTGTATTTCAATAGTCGGAATGCGATTGCATATATACTCCATGTTGGTTATTAGGTAGGACAAGCCATAATGTTTGTCCAGCCTAGCAACAATTAATCTAAGCAATTTGCATTCTGACTCTTTAGATACACTTATTTATAACAGGTGAATGAAATATTTTGTAACATTGCACTGAACAAAGATTAATGCATTAAGTTTGATTACATTACGAAAATGGCCTACCGAACTACAACTCTAATTCAGATGTATACTTTCTTTGCGCTTGTAATTTAGTTTTGGCTTTCTTGCGAAAATCCGTTAACCAATTGCCTAAATGAATCAGCCGGAAATTTGAGAGAATTGAGTCGTCATTGATTTAACATAGTGTACTGTACATAATTAATATGGGTGTTGCCAAAACTACTTTAATTACATGTCCATGTGCTTATGTAGAGGAGGGTTGGGCTAATTTGGTCATTTTGCAGAAAATTAGAGATAAATGCAAACACTCATTACTTTGAACCTTTGACCAAGGAGCAATATGAGCAGACTTCTCTGTACCTTTAAAATACAGCCAACAATATTTGAACGTCGTAAACTGTAAATTGAAAAAGGGTATTTTTATTGTGAACAATACCATTCACAACTTTGAGTTACAATTTAGAACTGATTTGTAACTGATATGTTGTTTGCATGGAGCCAGAAGGGCGTTAACTCATATACTCCGGTACTTCAATACAGAATGAAGGCCCTTCTGGCAGCAAATATATATGGTTTTAAAACTTTAACCCATTAATTAGCAACTAAACCGCCCAAAACCACCCCTCCTTTTACTCACTGAACCGCCAGTCTGTTTTCAACGCGCTACAGTATCCCTTCTAGGGTCTACCGTGATAATGTTATACGTGCGCATGTTTCATATTGTTCAGAACAATGTCAAAATGAGAGCAATATTGCAAGTGCAACATCTTCCAGTGAGTAATAGGCCATTTTTACAAAATCTCTAGTTGCTAAACATGCAATGAAGAGCAGTATGGACCTGAATACTGTTGCCAGAAATAAAAGGTTTTTTTTGTTGTACCAAAGTCAAATTGTATCTGAAAGACTTAATGTACAACGTGGTATTGGACTTGGTCTGTCAAGTTTAATGATATTGATGTGTATCAAATGTACGAGGCTCAGACCAAAATGACCATACATGTAGTTCTTTATTTAGCTTTTTAGCTTTTAAATCAATATGAAGATAACATACACTGTAGCTGGAGCTATCTGTGAGATCGCAGGCGAACTTGTCACTGTATCCATGTCAATACAATGAGCTCTCAATTTGTAATTCACAACTTTTTATTTTGCGGAAATGTTATAACAAATTAACCTTATTGTGATTGTTAAGTTAATTTATAGTCTACATATTACTTGTTCTCGTACCTGCACTATCATTTTACATGCCTTTAACTGTCGGTAAATTAATTCAAATGTACCAGTAAGTGTGGGGACTAACATTGACGTGATCTTAAAATATCTCTCACATTTATATGGACATTATTTTCATTTTCACCAAGATATGGTCTTTTGTGAGTAACACATGCGCAACTCAGTACTATTTTTCATGTACCCTACATGTATTTTTGGAAAAGAAACATCTATGTATTAATCATTATAGAAATTTAAGAAATACGATATGCAGGTTTTATGCATGTATGTATTTACATACTACATGTAAGTGTATGTTTAAAATGTAGATCAGTCCATGTAGATATTGTTTAAAAAATATTGTATTGTATCAAATTTTCTCCATGTACATGTTAAGTGTTTAGATCAGTCCATGTATGTTATTGGATTAAATATCATATGAAAAAGAAAAATATATAACCAGTATTAAAACGATTTGTCTTTTCAGGTCCAAGAAGTCTTTTAAGACTAGTGGTATCCCTGCTGAGCCTCCCAGTCATACCAAAGCACCATCTGTGAACAGAGCCCCACCTAGCAATGGATCTACTACCACTCATTCCAATGGAGCCCCGCCCTCCCCTTCTAACAGCTTTTCATCTACCAGCTTTTCATCTACCCACAGCGGAGGGGAAGCACCGAGGGCTACGGGGCAAAGAACATTGGAAATTACATTACCAGCTGGTACCACAATCACATCCACGGTCGATGCAAAGTGAGTCAATAATAAAAGCTTTGTTTCCAAAATGATGTCATAAAACCACCCCGAACAGAACACATCCAGTGGCAAAATGATAACATACCTTATACAAATAATACATGTTTGCGTGCGCATTATGCACTTCATGCAGGTTAAGTCACAGTAGGATAATGAACATGACTTGTTGAGTTCATTGTCCGTCTCATTGTGACTTAACCATGTATTATAAGATTGTTCTACAATATGAGTATAAAGTCGAGAACATTTGGGTTGTTATCACCAAAATGCACTCCCTGAGCATACATGTATGGTAAACATTAATGTATATACATGTATGCACACATGATCCATTTCGAGGCTTCTCATTGGCTACATTCTTGAACCCATTTTATAAACGTGTATAAAGCAAAGTATGCTTTATATTTCTGTTTCGTATAGCACACAGACAGGTGACTGTACATAGGGTCTTTTGTTATGCATGCACAGATACCTTTCTTCATTTTGTATCCCATCTTCCATTCATTTAAATTTGAAATATTTCATTTATTTGCCATGGCAGTACTTTTGAGGCAGTTAATGCTGTTATTGTTGAACAAAACATTAGACCACTATTTAAGAAAACATGAGGTGATTTGTTATGCAAGAAAGCATGCATAGAAATATATAATAGAATGTATATATATATATTTATTAGCAGGAAAATCATACAGTGAAAATCTTGATCCATACATGTATGGTTGTTTTACACATACATGTACATGTACTTGTACATATTTTTGTTTGAGATTAATATAGTTTCATTGTTATTATTTATGTTTAAGATGAAACTTTTTTTGTTCTTAATTCACCTGCAATATAGTTTCATTATTATTATTATTATTATTACAGTGTATTATTATTTCTTTATTGAAACCAAAACTTGAAGTTAGGTTTCAAATGCAATAAAAATACAAGCAGATACAATGGTAGAAATAATGTACACAAAGTCAGAGATACTGTTAAGTAACCAAACCAGCAATGGCCCTTCAGAAACATGTTCTAGCTGTTTTTCATGTGTGCGTTTTCATAATCACTGTTTACATGACATCTGCATAATTTTGACCATTGTTTAGATTACAAATGATGGATCTCCTTGTGATGATAGCGGCCAAGAACAAGCTGAACCCGACAGGTCATGTGATCTTACCAGCCACAGCAGACAGAACAGATATCGCACAGGTAACTAGAACTATTTGACCTTTCACCTCGTTCAAATAGTGATCCCTAGCGTGCCCATATTGCAGGCACAGCTGGTAGTGATGAAATACTCAAAGCAAATCAGGGGCTCAAAACAAACATGCATTTACATGTGGTTGGTACTTGTTCAGTGTGTTGTAATATGTTTGATCCAATGGTATTTATACAGCATGTGGTTGCTACTTGTTCAGTGTGTAGTAATAAATTTGATTCAATGGCATTTATACTACATGTACAAAGCTTGTCGCTAAAATGTCATACATGTAGGTCAAATGACCATCTTCTCCCCATCTCCCCCTCCTCCCCCCCCCCTCCCCTTCTCCCCCTCCCCTTCTCCCCCTCCCCTCCCCTTCTTCCCCTTTTCTTAGTTTATTGCTGAAAACTTTTATTTCATGAAGAGATGTGGTATCACGCCATGTTTTGATATTGTTAAAGGGGCTATAATAGCTTTAAAAAGGTATATTGCCACTATGTAGCAAATCACTACAATCGGCATTCTACACCTATATGTACAGATTAATTTGTTATGTGACTGGTCCTGTATATGCTGTTGAATACTAAACTTTTGAAACTAGTGGAAAATGTGTATTGTATTCTTATCACTTTAACTTCAATACTGGTAAAACTATATCTATTAAGATATTTCTTTTCTTTGACTGATAATTTTTCCTAGTAATTAAAAAGAGGTGGGGAAATGTTTACAGGACTGATCTAAAATAATTTGTTATATAATGAAAGATGACTGTAACATTAATTTTGTTTTTTATTTGCTCAGTTTAAAGCAAGCCAACGGATTGGTGAATTGGATACAACCATACTTCAAATAGTTCCCAAGCTGAGCCGAGGAGAGATCATATCAATAAGAACATCAGATAAAAAGAAAGCTGCACAATTTGAGGTAAGAGTCACACATCAACAATTTGCTCATATGTCATCTTTTTTGAGGATCTGCTGTCTCATTAAAAAAATTCCTTCTGAAGAAGGCAATTGACTGGTTTACTAACATGTTCAAACTTTATGCAAACTGTTTATAAAAAGGTTGTTCTAGACAACCCAAACGCTTGACTGAGGCTTGCCCGACATAGCAACAAGTAATGTATGCAGACTGGATTCCAAGAATTGTAGTTCATTCATTAATAACAGGTTAATGGAATATCTCATCACAAGGTCATCGGAAAGAAAAATCCATAAATTTGAATATGTTATTAAACAGGTCTATTCAGCATTTGCAGGAGCAATTAAAACAACTCGCTAGAGAGAGAGAACATGGTGTTATTTATTTGTATAATTACAGAGATAATGAGGAAAACGACTAAATCACGCTATCAGTAATAGACCATTATTGTGTACATATTGATGAGATGTATACTGAATATTGGAGTAAGGTCATGATGAGGAGGGCATGTGAAAAGCATGAACATGGCCTAGGTGTAACAACAAACAAAATATTTCCTTTGATTCAGTCAACATTGTGCTGGCTTGTTATTTGTTATTGTTTCATGCGCACTGACACTCATGAGTGTTTAAATAAATAAGTCTGTCACTGAATTTGCACAAATTCATTTTCCTCATGAGACCCCAAGTTAATGGCCATTCTGATTTTGAAGGCTGTACCATACCGTAATGGCATTCCAACGCACCTTCATGTATTCAATCGAATCCTGAAAATTGTGTGGGGGGAAATGAAAGGAAAGTGATATTTATTTAACAAAAGAACTATTCTCGAGTATACAATTCTTTAATCATGAGAGAGAGAGAGAGAAAGAAAGAGAGAAAGATAACGAGAGAGGGATATACAGAGAGATAGAGAGATATATATAGAGAGAGATAGAGAGACAGAAACAGAGAGAGAGGGAGACAGACACAGAGAGAGAAAAAAAAGACAAAATAACAAATTGTGTGTGTTTCTTAACCTACTTGTGGACGTGCTTGCTCGACTGTAAGGCCTGTTGCTTTCAAGGCTAATCCAATCCATCATTTATATGGATTGAGGACAATCTAGATTAAGAATAATATCAACGATGATCTCTTGTCATTGCAACACGGAGGACACAAGCTCATAGATCATATATGAGATTGCTCTGCCCATGCTGATGTGTGCATATGATAATGGAATTTTGTCCATACTACTGTGTGTGAGTGGCTTAATTGATTCATATTTCAATGTATTGTATTCAAGCCATTATGATCATTGGGCTGTGCATACATACATTTTAAGGGGAAGTCCACCCTGATATTAAGTCGGTTTGAATAAAAGCCAAAAAATGAGAGAAAGAAATTACTGAAATGTTGAGCAATATTTGATAAAAAATAGGAAAGTTTATTATGAATTTGGCAATATAATGACGATATTTTGCGAATTTCTCTCCAATTTGCTCTGTACATAAAAATTGCATAAAATGTTCATTTTCTATGCTATAGATTTGTTTCATACAGGGGTTGTAGAAAAAAAATTGCAATAATTATATTTAGGGTGAATGTATGAAAATTTAAATTTTACAGTTTTTAGTCCAAGGCAAATGGGAGGGGAGCCGCGAGATATGTCACAGAGTTGCTAAATTGTGTTTACTATATCGCAATTTCAAAAATTCATAACTTTCTTATTTGCAATAGGAATTTGTGATATATTAGATACTTACAAACTTATTGCATGTTATTATTAATACATAATATCAAATATATTCTAAATTTTTCTGCTAATGGGAATGAAATGACGTTATCATTTTACAAGAAAAATCCAGCAATAATTAAAAAGGGTTACATTGACTGTGATTGAATCCTTCTATCACGGCCAGGCAGTCAATTGAATACATACAATTCGTCAAGGAAACATTAGACTAGGAGGTTGTATTAATGTCCTTTAGCGATGAGGCACTTGACTTAAGCTACATGTATGTTCACTTGGGACCATCATAGTTTTAAAGGGGGGTGTAGCATGACGAGACTACGTGTCTTTCCCGTAGCCTGACTCAGGGCCAGTCGGGTATAATGCGACTATGGACGACGCAACCGCAGTATTCACGTACGTGTAAGCAACGTGCATGTAGGTCCATGGTGCAACATACGCAAAACCGAAGCATGAGGAGAACTTCTGTTTCGCAAATGCTACCGAGTGCTGACCGTTAATCAAGTCCTTTCGTTTAAGTGCAGTTGTCCAAAAGAAGTCGTAGATGGCGTTAACCAGTATTTGCCATGTTGCACCCCCTTTAAACTTTAAGTTAACGCAACCTTGAAGTTATAAACGATGATCAACTAACAACTACGAGGGTTTACTTGGGATCACAACGACAAGTATTTAAAGTTTTAAATCCCTGCAAGTAGTCATTTTAACCACAAGGTGTCATAACTTCAGAGTTAATTACGTCCGCACGTCACATAACTTTGAGTGAATACTCCCATGTTGCTTGTAGTTATTGCAAACTTTAAGATCGCTTATTTATAACTTCAAGTAAACTTAAAGCCTCGTAACCACGAGTGTGTCCGCACATTCCTTCACTACGAGATAACTTTGAAATCTAAAAATACGCCCTGAACTTAAAATTAATAGCCTGTCGTGTCAACATCACTTTAGCTGCGTTTAATAATCACCCAAGGGATTAAGGGCACTCAAAGGGCAAGTCTGATCTCTTCTTGTTTGCAGAGGGTTGCCAGGGATATCAAACAGGGGAAGTTATTACTAATCTAACACTTGATCTTAATCTTGAGTGATTAATGGATCCTTTTCGCTTTGAACAGTCTTCATGGGCTCTCTTTCACTCTGAGATTGTCGTTGAGTACAGTGGATCATACATGTAGACCTCATTGAGAGGATTCAATTTGAGGTGATGAGAGCTGGAGCTTTTATGACTTAGAAGTTATAGTTATACTCAACGTCTAGCTCAATATCATCGGTATTGTTGACTTGTAGGAGATCTGTGGATTATGTATTAGAGTGCCGTTTTTAGACTGATTTCTGTGGATATATTGGACTTGTATTGAAATACCGGTAGACTTGAAATCTACGGATATTTTGGACCGTTAGATATATTGGACGTGTATAGTAATTGATGAATCTGTTATTCTGAGATTGTTAATGAGAGCTGGAGCTTGATGCCATATACTCTACGTCTAGCTCACATTATCATTGGTGTCATAGACTTGTAGAAGATCTGTGGATATATTTGAGTGCCTTTTTTAGACTTTATATCTGCGGATATATTGGACCCGGTAGATATATTGGAAGTGTATAGTAATTGATCAATCATGAAGAAGATTACTCTGTGTCCATGTGGTGATTTTATTGGAGGAATATTAGCCAATCCTTCATTCAGGGTAATATCATTTATACATGCATCATTTCATGCCAGTATAGTTGTTAATTCAATTAATTTTATCATGTACCAATTGTTATTAAAGTACATGTACATTAGCCCAGTTTCCTAACATATTCAAATTTATGAATGTTTCTTCCCTGGTGACAAGTTGTCACCAGAATCTGTTATACACTGTATATTTTTGTCTAAGCAATTTTTTTACTTCAAAATAATGGCCTTTTGGGGGCAAAGGCTTACGGATGTGAGAGTTTTCTTTTGACACGATATCAATTGTTTTATTAAAAAGGGCATACTCTATCCTAAAAAATTGATTCATGCGATTGAGACAGTCTAACTGCCGCAACACAAGCATCCTTTGGCATGACGTTAATCTACATTTGCCATACTCCACCCAGGTGAGGTAAATGGGTACCTGGTAGGATTACTCCTTGAAATGCAACTGCTAATGCTAGGGTAATAATTTTCAAAGTTCTTTGGAAACGCAGAGGGATGTTATACAAGAACAAAATATCAGTATTATGAACTTATTCTATGTTTATGTCTTTCTGCAGCAAACTGTCCGTCTGACAGTGCTCTCTGGTAAGAACCACAAGGCCTTGTTCCGAGTGAATCCAGAGAAACCTATCCAAGACTTCTTGCCGCAGGTATACGAGGAGAGGGGCATCGAAGCCAACGAATGCAGACTACGTCTTGTTAAAACCCCAGAGGAAGACATCGATTACTCCAAAAGCCTCAATCACTATGGTGGGGTCAACGAACTTGTCCTTATCGATTTAAGACGTGAGTACTAGCTTTCTTTCTCCTGAAATATTTTCATTTTAATGTTTGTATTTGAACAGAATCCCGTCATCTTCATTTTTCTTGTGGAAAATAAGATGAGTTTTGTCTTTCTTTTATCTCCTTGGCACATGTCTGTGATTTAGTTGTATGAATAATGTGTATTGTCTGAATTACAGTTATAAAAGAAAGGTTCCTTCTGTTTTGGAGTTCACGTTATGTTGATGTTCACTCTAATACATTGAAAGATGTGCTGATTTCAAACTGCTTAATATTGTTTTTCTTCTCTAAGTGCCATATCGATTGACTTTGGCGATCATGCCGTTCCACAAGCCTTGGTTCCAAACCTTCTCTATTAGCACCACTCCCAGTTCTTTCACTCCTCTCTCTTCCAAAAATTTCTGGCAGACTGTCCATCCAAAGTATCCTCCTTCTTCCCCTACTCCTCCTTCCCACAATTTTAGCTGTCAAAGCAAGTTCTCTAGGCCTTCTTTACGTGTAGTGTGACCCATGAACTTCAACTGCCTAATCAACATCTCCCATATCATTTTCCTTTGCACTCCAACTCTTCTAAGAACCAATATTGTAGTGTCATGAATATGACATTGGCATTGATATTATGCCTTTAAAAGGAGCATATAGATGTCTTGTATGATATGAGACCTATAACCACTTGAAAAAGATTAGATGTGAAGGGTTTACCTCACATCAGCCTCTTGACTCAGGGCAGATGATCGAATATCGTGCTGCAAACCACATTGAAGTCACCATGGCAACGCAAGAGTGTATTCATCTTAGCAGCTCGGAGCACCTGCTGAGCGTGTCTCTTTCTATGTCTGCTTTCTATTTGTTCTATGATAAATTTATAGAAACCGTGCTGTGTCAGGGAGATCCAATAGATTCTCCACCCTCTCTCTCTCTCTCTCTCTCTCTCTCTCTCTCTCTTTCTTCTTTATCTCTCTCTCTTTCTCCTTCTTTGTCTCTCTGTCTCACTCTCTCTTTGCTCTTTCTCTATCTGTTCCCCTAACTCACTCGCTTGCTCTCTCCTCTTCTTCTGCTTCTTACTCTGCTTCTCTCTGTCTCTCTCCCTCTCTCTGTATCTCTCCCTCTCTCTGTCTCTCTCCACTTCTCTCTTTCTCTCCACTTCTCTCTTTCTCTTAATTCTCTCTCACCTTTAGATGCAATATCATGTAATGTTATACCGGTACATAAATAAGGTTTTTTTCTTTCTTCTTTGTTTGCCTAGTTCCATGCCCTTCCTTCTAATATCTCTTTATTAAACAGGTTCTTATCCAGAGTCTTGCCTTCTTTCTTAATGTCTATAATATTTTTTTAGAACTGTTTGTCTGTTCTTCCAAAGATTTTTAAAAATCTGAATCTCAATCCATGCATTTTCAATCACTGATTTGATTAATTTTGTCTAATGGAGGCAAATACATGTACATCTACAGCACTATTAATGTCTCTCGCGTACTATTGTAACCAATGTTGACCTGATGCATAGTACAGTGGGATTAACATTTATTTCTTCAGTATATAGAGAGTCTTCTTTATTTAAAACCTTTAACAACACCATTAATTTCAATGTCAGTACCATATCTCCCTTTTCATTTTACAGCGCCACCCCCACAAGAGCCAGAACTTGTCCCTATTGAGAAAAAGAAAAAGAGCATGTTTGGAAGGAAGAGCAAGAAAAAGGTAAATAAGCCAAATGTTTAAATTTTGTTTTAATGTCTTTGCATAAATTAGTTGATGTAGATAATAAAATTGGGGTTTGATTTAGCATTGATTTATAGATGAGAGTAATCTGTCCTTTAAAACAATTAATTATTATATGCTCAATACATTTCAACATAACGGACATGACATTCAGAACAGGTTTGGGATATTTATGAAAGTTTAAATTTTTAGATATGATACAATTTCATTTATAATTATTCAAACTATTTATACCAGGGTGAAGGGGAACCGTTATCTTTAACACCAACAAAGGAAGCAGCACCTCCAGAACCGTCTCAAGCACCACCAGCAGCCAGGCAACCATCACTAGACAGTACCGAGGGTACCGACAACAATACCCTTAAGAAGAGACGACCTGCACCCCCTCCACCCGGTGGTAAGAAGGAACCAACACATGATGAACAATTACTCAAACCCTCTATGGAGGGCGTGTCACGCTCGGCCCAAGGCGTGTCGAAAAAGAGGCGAGCACCCGCACCCCCGCCGGCAGGGAGTGCACCGCCTATACCCTTAGTGGATCCTATTCCAGAGGTGACTGTTAATCATGGAAGTGAGTCGCCGTCTCTGTCCGATCAGGGTAGACACATCTCATTTGGAGCCACAGAAGTGATTGAATCACCCCTGAGCACACCGACATCCACACCCGCAGACACACCCGCAGACACGCCCGAATCCACCCTTGAAAGGAGGAAGAAGGATGGTGGGGATGCTACTGCTACCGGTGATGATATCCAAGTAGAAGTTAGTCTGGCTGAGTTGGATGAAGGTAATTACATAGAAATAGTGTCATAGCTGAGATGCTCAAATAGCTATTTAAAAACTAAAATTTGATTTCAGCAATTATATTAGAGCATGATTTTCTCTATTAACCCTAGGCTCCGAGAGCTTCTGAAATTTGAAATTTAGATGATGCGTACAATTTTAACTGTAATGAAAATGAAATGAAGCAGTTAGTAATAGTAGCCAAAACAGCATCGACCTTGAAAGTAATGACTAAACAGTAACGCAAGTTATCTTTATTTATGCTGCTTGATCACAATTGTATGTTGCTTTATTAGAGCTTTGATTTGTACAGCTTTAATTATGTATATACTTTAGATTTAGTTGATGCATGTATAGTTTGCTTTATGTAGAAGGGGCTTTTGGTGTTAATTGGTTCTTGATTTACTGGAATTGTTAGGTGTCTCACGTTGATTTCTTTGACATATCACTCAAACACAATCACATTTGCATATATTCCTTATTTTGACATGTTACCAATCACTGTCATGAGCTCTCAATATTTCTGCTTTTACTCTAAAAATGTAATTATGTTGATGATGGCAATAAGTCATTTTAAAATGAAAAATTGACTGATTTGTTGAACGGAAAATTATTAAAAATGGTATAACCAGATCGGTATTAGTTTAGACATATTTGTGGCTTAATTACACCCAGTAAATAAGATTGATTGATCGATCTGTAATTGAAAAACAGGTCAGAAAAAATCTTGGAACCAGCAGGATTTGAACCTGCCATCTACTGCTTGCCGGGCAGCGACTCTACCACAAGGCCATCACTGGTCCATGGCACAGTCACGATGAACTAAGATTTTTCCTGACTTGTTTTTCAATTACAGATCGATCAATCGATCTTATTTACTGGGTGTTAACCACAAATGTGTTTAAACTATTGAAATTTCTCCCAGGAAGCATTACATTTACAGATCGGTATTATTTTCGTGAAGTTTGAAAGAAGCGATCCGTTTAGGGCCAATTTGCATGTTGCATGTTTTCATTTCCTAGTGCTTGATGAAGATATCCCACCGCCCCCTGACTATGCCCCTCCTCCACCACCGGTATTTGACCCCCCTCCGCCCCCTGACGAGCCCCCTTCCCCCGGGGAGCCCCAGGAAGATGTGGACAGGTTGATCCAAGAGGGGCGTTTGGTGCTGTCCCCGGGGGTTGGGCTTGAAGACAATGATACAACCAGTGAATGTTCATCAGGTAAGATGAGTAACTTCGCTTATCGAGTCACCCCATCAAATTGTTCAGTGAATTTCTCCTTTTCTTGAGACAGTGATTCCATGTTAACATAACTTTGCATAGTACGTTGCATTAACTTTGCTTGCAATATTCTAACATATCGTCCTTGTTTTCACGAAGTGACGGTAGTGAGGAAAATCGTCACGCAAAGTGGATGCAATTTTTTTTCACTACCGTCACTTCGTGAAAACAGCGACGATATATGCTTTAAATTTTAATATCCATTAAATGAATATTGCTTGTAAGTAGTTTGTTAAAAGCCAGGAGAGTGTTAACTCATATAATTTTACAGGGTTAATGAAAAAATCTACAGAAAATTTCATAAACTTTAATTTCTTACTTATTGATGACAAAATAGACTTGTTTCATACAGGGGTTGTATTTAAAAACATATTTGCAATATTTAAATCTAGGGTGAGTGTATGATTGAAAATGTTCTTACTTTATTTTTTTGAAGTTTTTTAGTACAGGGCAAGTGGGAGGGGACCTCGCAAGATACCTCACAGAGTTGCCAATTTGTGTTTGATTGATCACACCTTCAAATATTTCATAACTTTCTTATTTTTTTATCAGTTTTTACTCAAACTTTCACTGACCTGTTTATTTTTCTGCTTCTTTCCAAACAAATTTAATATATCAGGGTGGACTTCCCCTTTAACTGATACCACAGAGTTAATGCCCTGTTAGCTCACATCATATGCCATGGGTCGTTTGGTCCAACTAAATTTTTACATAGGAGGACACATATGAAACCCAGATTTATTTCCATTTATAGGAACATATTCTTACTTTTTGTCATCAATGGGAATACCTAGCGGTACATGTATTTAACCCCTTGTCTCCTGGAACCGGGTATTCCCTGTATTAAGCCTTTGTGAATGAAAGAATTCAGTAGTTCACAGGTTGACAGATTCTCTCTAACCGTAACGCCCTGTCATCCCACTTGTGTGACCCCAAAAGAATTTTCAGTCTTTCTTCATTTCAGTCAGTCTAGTATCAAGTAAACTGTGAAATTGCCATGACATTAGAAGTATATTGGCATCCTTTCCCCTTTAAAATGGAGACTTTCAATTTTCCATCTCTTCCCTTGTGTAGTGGTCCTTATTGGGATGTCATTCTAATGGTTGATGTTTTCATGGAATCCTAACGTTTTAAGGGGAAATCCCTTTTCCGTCCTATTCCTTTTTTATTTGAAAGCTTAGGCTTAATATTCACTACTTCATGTTGAAATATGTTATTATTATTAAAAGGAAACGAAACTTAGAAAAAAACTGTGAATAGATACATGAATAGCTAATGATTTAAATGCATTCACCATACACATATGTGGTGATTTGGCTAGGTAGAAGGAAAACCCCCTGTCCTACCCCCTCCTGGAGTGGATGTGTGTGCAATAATGTAGCCATTTTAGAATTTCACCCACTTTTTATTTTATTGGTTATATTGCTTCATATTGATTATACTAAATATAAGGCAATGCAATGTAATATAATCATATTATTATTGCTTAGCTTCAGCTGCTGATTTTGGTTGTGTACCCATGTTATCCCTAATGTAAATTTAATCTAAATCACTTATTCTAATATGCCATGAGCCATTGCACTAGCGTAGAATACAGTTATAATGTTATTGCTCCACTCTTATACCACTCCCCCAAGTAATTATTATCTCTATATATCATAATAAAAATACCCATCTTTACCACTATCATCATAACCACACCATCTTCGTAACTACGCACATCTTAACCACACCCCCATCATAACCACACCCCCATCATAACCACACCCATCATAACCACACCCATCATAACCACACCCCCATCATAACCTTGCACCCATTACTGTACCTATCATAACCACACCCATGACCACAACCACACCCATAACCACACCCTTGACCGCTCCCATCATAACCACTCCCATCATAACCACACCCATAATCATACCCATAACCCTACCCATGACCACTCCCATCATAACCACACCCATAACCATACCCACAACCACTCCCATGACCACTCCCATCATAACCACACCCATAACCATAACCGTACCCATAACCCCACCCATGACCACTCCCATCATAACTACACCCAGAACCATAATCATACCCATAACCACACCCATGACCACACCCATAACCACACCCATTGTAAGGACCTTATCCTGCCTAACAACCCCATCTTGACTCTGACCATCTTGCATCCTGCAGACCATGATCTAGCCAGTAGCCTTTGTGCCTCTGCTACGTCCAGTCTTATCAAAAGCATGGAGGATGCTTTTGAAGAAGCGCTAGCAGTGGGCAGGGAATGTAAGTTGTGTGTGTAAGAATGCTTGCTGTACGTGTGTCTCGATCCAGCTTTCATGTAGCTCTTCGTCAAACCATCTCTTTGTTGTCTTTGAGTGCTTTAGATTGTGTGACGTATCAGTTTGTTGTGATTCCAACCATCAAAAAGCCAATTTATTTTTTGAGAGGATTGCCAATTCAGAATACGGCACCCTTACTCGTTCGATTGTGTGGTTACAATGACATCATGTAAGCAGAAAAAGGAGTTGTGATAATTGGGAATGAAGGGACTTTTTCAGAATCCTAACATTTGAACAACGTTTACTTTATGATGAAATCCCTAAGTAGTGGTGACTAATATTTTGAAACGATAAAATGGCAATGAGAGGTAGAGCTGAGATGGTTCAGTCAGTACTGTGTTTGCCCCTCAAACGTGGGTTTGAATTCAACCCAGGCGGATGACTGATCAAAGCCTGCGTTGTGTGTTATTATGCCCCCTCTGCTGTTTCATAGATGCAGGCTAGGTAACAGTAGTCAACACTTAGTCCCTTGGATAGGATGTTGAGTGGAGTTCCCTTGTGTAGGAAAAGTCATGACTTACATATGTTAAAATCCTAATGGGATATGCCCTCATCCTGTAGCATTTTACTATGAATTCTTTTCCATTGCAAAGCACTTTGATGATACTCCATAAATATATGCAATCTTGAATCTTCTCATTTACTCCTTAAATATCAGAATACGATGCTGGTAATAATGCAATCTTCCAACTTTCTCAATATAAGAATACAATGCTGGTTATGCAATCTTCTGACTTTCTCATTATTCCCTAAATATTGGAATATAATGGTGGTTATGCAATCTTCCGATCTTTCTTGTACTTTCCTATTGTTCATTTGACAATGGTAGGTGTTTGTTCCGGTACTAAAGATAATGTTAATATTTAACAGGTGGAAAGCATGTTTGCTGTGCTCTCGTGCACATCATTTCTAATCATGACTTGTTAAAGGTATGCTTTGTTTTTGTATGATAAGATGAATTATTCAAGATGAACTCCAACTAACTTGTAAATATTCAATAATAAACACATAATTCTTGATATACAAAGTCAGGTATAATCGGGTTGAAAGATTAAGAAATAAAACTATTAAAAATATAAGTTTGAAAGCTTTGGATAAAATCTTGTCATAATGTCATTTTTATAGCGACAACTGAAGAAAAATATGCCATACAGGCATAGATATGAGAAACATATGGTAATTGAATCCTAGTGATTTGGGGCAATTTAATTTGGTTTGGAAAGTGACAAAATGACCCCTTCCTTTGAGTACTTGTACATTCATTTTCAAGCAATTCAGTGAAATGCGATTTATTTGAATGTAGAACCAACATGAAATTTAGAAGTACATCCTAAACTACATGTACTTTGTCATTTCAGTCTGCCAATATTTTATGAACCTGTTAAGAGATACTGCAAGGTTTATTATGTGTGGTATTATTTGAACAGTAGCATTTAATAGCAAAGACATATAGCCAGGGATAAAGTCCACTGGCTGCTAGTAGTGTAGTTCTTTGGACCCATTTGTTGACATTGCTCTTACGCTCTACTCCTCTGGAATATTTTCTACATAAAAGAACATACATCTATATGTCCACTAGAGTAGAATGAATACATACTATCATGGAAAATATGGATGTAATTCATATATGAATATAATAAATAATAATAATTAGATCAATTTATAAAGCGCAGCTGCTATGTTAATATACTATACTGCCATGCGCTGTTATGAAGAAAAAGACTCCCAGCAGTGCTTCTTTACAGACACACAATTACAAATATTTTTTAAAAAGTATTCAAAAGCTCCTGAAAACAAGTGTGTCTTCAACATATGAATATAAATGGATTCTGTTGCTTTTTTAAAAAGACAGTTTGTGAATTGCATACATTAATTGTTGCGAAGTAGGACAAACATTATGACTTGTCCTACCTAGCAACATTTAATGTCTGCAATTTTGCATTCTGACTATTGAAATTTAATTAATCGTAATAGGTGAATGAAATAACTTGTAACGAGGCACTTAGCAAAGATTTGTGAATTCCATTTGATTATATTACGAAAATGGCGTGTTGTCTGAACTGAAACTTGTTCAGACTTGGACATTACAGACGATAAGCTTACACCTTATCTTCTTTATTTATGGTGGATATAAAAATTTATGGCCCTAGCTCTTTTTCTGATCATAGTACACTACACTGTATGTTATTATGTATGTGTCTACATTTAGACCTGCATAGAAAACTCCAATCAAATAGTACACTTGTATTGTCATAATGATGATAGATTCTTTGATATGGGCCAAACAGAAATAACATGAATATACAGGTCAGGGGATAGCCTGCAAGAAGAACCAGAGAATACATCCATAAATATATTTCTTGCCATTGTATGGCTTTTTTTTACAAAGACAATGAGGTTGAAACAAGATCTGTCTCGTGTTCACTAATGATTTGTTTTGCTGGCATGTGTGTGTTGGTATGTTTATGATCAGCGTAGCATCATATAAAAAAACAAGTACATTGTTTGCTTTAATTGCTTATTACTAACCATCCTTTGCTTGCTTTATAACACTTTCATTTCTGTGAGTGATTGCAACTGCACTTTTTTAGGTAATAAAACTTATAGAATTAGAGATTAGAAATAAAAATAGACAAGTTACAGCTTTTAGACAATGTTTTTTGTTAAAAACTTGTATAGTATGTGGCTTCATCGAGGAGTTAAATCATTCCTTTTTTTAAATATCATGTAGGAATTCTCACAATTAGTCATTCTCACAATTAGCTCAGTTTCTTAACTGTTTACATTATTTTATAAAATGATTGTGCTGACCGTCTTTTATGACTATTGAGGGTGGAATAGAGTGGGGGTGGGCAGGGGGCTAGATGTATACATGCAGTACCCTTGATCACATGACATAGTAAACTACCCCCCCCCCCCCTCCCCTCAGAATTCCTGCAGTAAAATAAACGACCTGAGCATAGTGCACATCTGTCTCTGTACCTCATGACTCAGGGAGTACAGCATTGAAAAAAGTACCTTGGAGTGATAAAGAATTTGTCTGTGGAAAGTGAGCTCTTTGAAAGTACAGTATAATGTTTAAATAGCTCCGAGAAAACAATTTGGAGGAGGTCATTTAAAGAAAAAGTCATAAATAAAGTTGCGAGACCATATGTGACCACATGGAATAATTGATGAAATTTTGAATGATAGAAATTCCATTGCTGTTGGACCCCCTCCGTTCCTATTGAGCTGTGCTCTAAGCCCTGTTCTATTTTCTACAATAGGGACTTTTAGATTTGAACGTCGACATAGAAGACTGCTACGTGTGACGTTCTTATAAGGTACTGACAGTGCCTTAAAAGGAAGTCACAGTGCCGTAAAAGGACGTCACACGTGGCAGTCTACTTTGTCGATGTGCAAATCTAAAAGTCCCTAATGTACGTAGTGTTGACTAGAGATAGAACCGAGCATTGTCTTTCTTGTCGTTCCCTAGCTTTGACTAACGATGCAACAGCAGAGCAAGAGGTCAGCGTGTCTCAAGTCAACATTGCCAGTATCGACCAATCAGTGCCAGAGGATCCAGAGTCGGGAGAGAAAGTTCGGATTGATTCGACCAATCAGGATGAAGATACGACAGAGGCTAGTACAGATGAAACACAAGCCAACATATCGGAGCAAACAGCAGATGACAACAAAGCAGGTAAGTTGCAGATTAAAACGTTGAAATTTTATTAATACCTAACCAGCTAAAGTTTATTTTGTTGTATTTGTTTTTGCCTAGTGATTATAATTTGGTGTTTGTAAACTTGTGATATTTAACTAACTATCTTGATTTGGTATAATGGTTTCCTTTGTGTGCTATAATTGTTTGTTATTGCTGTCATGCTAATCTGTTCATAGTTCATCTGACTTTGCCATGAATAACATTTCTAATTCAAACCTTGCAAATATTTACAGAATTAAAATCTTTAAACGAAGATCATGTCATTTCTCTTTATTTCAATCTTATCCTTTATGTAAATACTCTTTGGAATTTCAGTAATCAATTTCAAAAGCCCTCCAACCCTATTCACATTAGACTTTCCAAATCCCGTTTTCCTATTTAGAATTTTTGTTTTTCAAACATGATAGTGAATATTAAACTTGTATTCATAATAAAGATTTGACACGTTTATAATACAAGAGAAAGGATAGTCCAATGCACCCAAAACAAAAAGCTGTTACCAAAACATTGATTATCAGAGATAATAATTTCTGAAGACAGGTGTCAAACCTTTTCCCAGTGTGCTGTGGAGCAAAATTAGTTGATAAACAACTTTGAAACATGAAAACATATCCTAAATGTATTAAAATGTCATTTCAAAGCCGTCATTATTTGTTTGCACCAAGTCATGGTTGATGCACTTGGTTGATGCATGAAATGAATGTGATTGCTGTGAAGAAGTTATATTTATTTATTTATTTATTTATTTATTTATTGAAGGTAGTCTCTTCAGTACAAATTGCTTTGCAAGAAAGCCCTGTATTACATGATACAATTAAAATACAATTAAAAAACAATTAAAAACAGTAAACAAATTAATAAATAGTACAATAAATAATAAATGACATTTTTAAAAGAGCATAAGTATAGACTGATTATATAAACCAGTATTAAAGACTTTTCGTCATGATGCACAATTCAGCTAAAGATATACTTCTTTTATTGTTTGTTTTTTATTTCCTTTAAACCCTGTGGTGTAGTAGCCTATACCGGTAGTTGGTGTATTTTAGAGGGTTAGATGTCACTTGAATTATTATTGCATGTATAATGCAGCATGCACTATATGCACCAAGGTTTAAAGCTAATCACTGTGAGATGTATAAGATGATATTTTAGATAGGTTAGGTATGCAATATAGTTGCCCCAAGACAGAAGTCCATGATAGTTGCTATAGAGGCTACTGAAGTTTCCATACAATCTACTAACTTAGGTTAGAAGTCTAGGATACCAACATAAATGTGTTACCCTAGAATAGTAGGCCTACTGCATATCAGAATAGAGAGACACCGTTTCCATGCAGGAAAGCATTGTGTGTTTCATAACATGTATAGATTATTTTGATCCATAATATCATACCAAAGTTGGCTTTTTAAAGACTCCTCTAACACAAACAATCAACATTTCTATTTTGGAAACAAAATGAAACACACAAAAAAATTAAAAAATAGTCTGTATTGAATGACATATTGTGAGTGAACTTAGTAAAGCATTGTTAGAATTCCTATATGCACACCCTTCTGTATTAGTATGTGCACGTTCCTCTGTAAATGTGATAGTCTCCTGCACTATAGTTGCACTCCCAGGTCTTTTCTTGCAAGTAATTTGATATCTATCATCACACCTGTTGTTCTTTGCTTTCAGTTGATTGTGATTACGTTCTCTCTTTTTCTTCTTTCTGGCATGCCTCCTTCCTTCTTCCCTCCTATGACTGCTCTAACCGTGCACCCTTTCCTCAGCTCTCTCACCGCTCCTACTAACCTCTAACAGTAACAACCAGCTTGATAGTGAGTGTGGTCTAACTAAACCATCACAAAAGATACAACTAACCACAATATCCAATGATGAACCTACCAAGCCCGTCCCTAAACCCAGGATTGTCAAGATCTCTCAGTCATCCGATGAGAGCCACCCTGATACATCAAGGGATCGGAGTGTGAGTGATGCAAACAGGGGTCAAGGTGCTCCGGTACCAAAGCCAAGAATCACTCGGTTTTCCTCCGAGCCACAGCTAGACACTCCCAACAAAGAGAGCACTGATGCTTCTAAAAAAGCGATGACCAAGCAGAAGTCGGCGGATCAGATCAGTGGGCGTTACAAGAAGAGGAAAGCTCCAAGACGCCCTCCTCCATTGGTTCTTAGCTTAGACAAGGAAGACGAATCTGCTTTGAGTGCTCTTCAATCGGCATTCTTAGAGGCATTTAGCAAACAGCCTGGCAGCAAGACTGCTACAGCCCCTGTTATGAAACTCAGACCGTCAAGAGCCCCTCCGTTACCCCCTACATTCAGGAAAGACAGAAGTTCATCTACCAATGACGTAAAGTCGATCAAATCGGTTCAGTTTGCTCCCGATCTTAAACAACCTGGTGTGATCCAGCAAAGCAAAAGCATTGACGACCCTCAAGGAATGTCCAAACCAGTCGCTCCAGTTAGACGAAAAAAGAAGACATCCTCTGATTCAGTGAGTGATCAGCACTCGTCACCTGATAAGGTGGCAGTAGAAAGTACAGAGAGGTTGCCTACCCCAGCCATTAGAGCAAGAAAGTCTACGAAGAAGGCAGAGGTTACATCTGATAACCGGGTAGAAGGCAAACCTCCAGTGAAGTCTGTAGGCTCTCAAGAGAACCCAAATAGATTTGAGGTTGAAGTGGAGATTGTTGCTCCTCCCCGACAAGCGCAGGAAGATAAGCTCTGTCCTGTAGCATTAGGATCAACGGAAAAAACAACTGGTCAACAATCAACTCTTGGTCAAGATACTTGTACAACGAAGGACAAAGGTGCAACACCCACATCATCCAAAGAAAAACCAATAGAAGTGGCGTCTCCCGCCGTTGTCCAAGCCATGCCCGAATCGAATCCTGATCTCTCTCGCTCTCTTAGTGGTGAACTTGAAGACACGCTGAAGAGTCGTCTGATGCAACTCCACAAATCGATGAAATTCGAAGAGAGCTTCGACACCATCAACAGCAGTGATGATGTCTTCCTCGATGAGACCTTCGGTGACCCTCCGTCTGAACCGGATGCTCACAGCTCAGAGCAACTGACCACGTCGCGAGACTCTGCAGACGTTCAGCAAACGGATTCCTTCAATCATGAAGAAAAGGGTGAAGGCATCTCTTTCGGGACGAATGATTTGAAAGAGAAAGAGCTAGAGGAGGAGGAGATGGTAGGAGAGATGTCATCTGGATTTGAGAGTGAATGCGTCTCTACAGAGGCAGTGGTTGTGGAGAGTAGTCCTAATCTTGTCATTCCTAAACACAAAGGTCAGCCTTTTATCATCTTCTCTTTTATGATTTATTATTATTATTATTATCCATCATGCTCTTATCCTAGCTAGCACATGGCCAAGATCTTCATTCATTTGCACAATACTCTGTTCATAGTCATTCTTTAGCATAGTTGGATATTCTCACTATTCTAATTGCTCATCAAAATTTTATTCTTTTTCAAAATCAATAAGGCAATTAAAGTCTTGAAGATTTCCTAAGAGGCCTCATTAAATATGCCAGTTTCTGATCATATATCTTTCATCATCATATAAGCTACATGTATCTGATATTATTATTATTATTATTATTATTAAATTCAGCTTAGTATTGGTGTTAATCTGCTTTCTAACTCTGTTCATCAATCAGCCATCCTTGTGTATTAGCCATCATCTGCATGATCTTATTTCATCATCACGCTCAAAAATGTTGTATGGGATATTAGGTTACTCTAATCCAGCCATTAACCATTTTTGTAAAATGCTGAGTCTTCCAATTCTTACTGCATGCTCTTTGAGTGTATTATGATGTCACAATTATATATTTCTGCACTCTCTTGGGTGGTGGGAATAGATTCTGATTTTAAGCATCGATGATATGTAATAATCACCTATAGATATGCAATTATTCAAATTTATAATTGAAATTGATATTTCATGATCAACTATTCTTCACAGTCAGCATATGAACTTGAACAATGATGACCAAATTCAATTTTTGAAACTATATTTTAGATATTCTCTTATAGATCTATATTAAATTATGTTTGATATTATTTATGCATACAATTCTATAATAGTACACGATTCAAAGCATATTATAAATGTACTATTTAGCATCATTTGATGTGCTATTAAAAATGTAAGTTGGAACCTCAAGGAAACAATTAAAACAAAAACATTGAGAAGTTGTTTTTCTTAAATAATGATTTTTTTTTATTGGGGGGGGGGGATGATAAATTCATTTTCAAGTGTGTTTAAAATTATTCTACAAAATATGCTTTCTCCTTTAGCATTCTTTCTAATATTCTTTCCAAGTGATGCAAAAAAGATCTATTGTTAAAAAATAACTTGGCTTGAAAAACTAGGATGTAAGCCGAGCATTATGTACCAGTAACGAAATTCACATCATCAGAGCACTATTGCATAATAGTTACCACTGAGGTTAACTTTGCCATCAATACTGTATTAACTACCATGGTGATATTAACAGCCTATCTGATCAAGGTTTCTATGGAAGTAACCATTATTAATGGCAAAGTGACCATTAATGGGAAGTTTTATGCAATGGGGCCCTAATAGAATAATTTGTATGGAGAGGTTTCCAGGGTCATTATGCCAATAAGTGTCACTGACCTGAAATCATTTTGTGATAAACCTGAATTTCTGGTAAAACAGAGAAGGAAAGGTGCAGTGTAAAATGGCTATGACGGCTGATTTGGTTGCTCTTCATTGCAATCAGTAAAATAAGCAAATCTCATCATGGTTGAGCTTACTAAACCTTAGTAGAAAAAAATTGTGAAGTTTACAGAACTAGAAACCAGAAGTTAGTTGAGAATCTTCATCAAGAACAATAAAGTGAGCAAAGATTAACTCAAGTTAATATACCCAAAATGTTGTGATTTCTGTCAATTTTTAAACTCATAATTGAAGACAGAAGCGGATGCTGTTGAAGTCTAGTGTTGAAGCACACATCTGGTAATTTAGGATGTGTTTTCTTTTCTTCTACTGGTCTTTGATTTGCATTGCTCCTTGATCTGTCTCTTTTTGGCTCTCGGTTTCTCCTTGATGTGCAAAAATCACTTGACAGTTTTCATGGTAGAATGTTACTTGTCAGAAATGTTTTTAAAGATATAGGTTCCACTAGCATTGATTGTTATTGTCTGTTTGGTATATCATTATGATATACATATAGATTTAGGTATCATTGTAACTATTTTGAGATTTGCTTTCTGAATGATAGGCAATCAGGATAAATATGTGATGAGAGTTTGCCTTCTGTGTTTTACAAGAAAGTGAACCAACTGTGATTTTGCACAATTTCAACAAGACAGTGGTGTTCAGTGATCCTTGAAACCTGAGTTACATACTAATTATAGACCATTTTCGTATTAATGTATTCAAATTTAGTGCAGACACCTTTGTTAAGTGCTATGTAACAAATTATTTCATTCACCTGTTACAAATAATTGTATTTCTATAGTCAGAATGCAGATTGCATACATTAATTGTTGCTAGGTTGGACAAACATTATGGCTTGTCCTACCTAACAACACAAAAAGTTTGCAATTCACATTCTGACTATTGAAATACAATTATTTGTAACAGGTGTATGAAATAATTTGCAACAAGGCACTTAACAAAGATTTGTGTATTGAATTTGATTACATTACGAAAATGGCCTATTAGTATTAAGAAGCATAAAAATTAAGTACTTATATGATAATGAATTTCATTATTAGTAAACAATCCCTACTCAATGCTTGATTCAAAGTTGGGGAACTTTTTTTACAGAAACACCTTGCTTAATTGAACTTAATTAATTTTAATTATTCACTCGACAAGGTAAATGGTACCTGTTACCATTTATTTTTTTATTTTTTGTATTAGCTTGCATTAATTTTCTTCTTGCAACAATATGATTAATATGCTTTTAACATAGTGTTACTACATTGTAGTTTAAGGAATGAATACCCTAGGTCTAACCCATTAATGTGTGCTTTATTTAATTTGCTTTGCAGACACTACTACTGACATAAAAGAGAAGAGAGCTGCTCTGACTAAAATGATGAAACTAAGTCTGGATGAGGATAGCAAAGAGACTACTAGTTACTCTCCAACCCCTCAAGGGGAAGACTCTGAGAGTATGTTGGAAGAGAAGTCTCTGACGGCTTTGGCAGGGGGAGTCACCAGGGAAGCAGTTGGTGATCAAACACTGCAGGTGAATAAAGACAAGACCAAAGACACGGTAGAGGAATCTCTTAGTTTGGAGAAAGAAAAAGAAGAGGAAACAGTGGAAGAGAAAGAAAAAGAAAAGAAAGAAGGTGAAGAGAAGACAAATGTAGAAGAGAAGAAAGATGTGGAAGTGCATGAAGTTACAAAGCAACAGGATGAAATTGCCAAAGCGGAACAGCCCAATATGGAGCAGTTAGCAGAACAATATAAACAACTTCAACAACAAATGGCTATGTTGCAGCAACAATTGGTCCTGAACCCTACCTCAGCCTCAGCTCCCATGCAGATGAACCCTGCAATGGCATACCAGACACAACAGATGCAACAAATGCAGCAACAGATGATTTTACAGCAACAAATGTTTATGCAGCAACAGCAACAGGCGATGGGGGGTTATGTCATGGTTCCCCAGCCTGGTGGGGGTAATGTTATGGTTCCCGGCCAGCCCGGTGGGGGTATGATGATGTCCCCACCACAGATGATGTACACTCCCATGGGCGTGCAACCTCTGCCTGCCTATGGGCAGGTCACTCCACCTCAAGTTGTCGCCACTCCTGCCGTTGATCAACAAGACTCTCCAGCGAAGTCTGTCGCGGATGAAACCGATTCTGGCGTTAAAGAAGAACCTAAGGAGACATCAAGAGATCAGCCAGATGAGGTAACGCATCAAGAAACCCCATTAAAGCCTCCTACGGATGCACAGGCTACTGCAAGTGGCAGACGGAATGTTTTTGCGGATATCCTCAAGAAGAAGAATGCTCCTAAATCCTCCTATGTCCTGTCTGCTCAGAGAGAGGCTCAGAGACAACGCAGTGACTCCAATTCCTCCTTAACCTCCTCTACATCCTCCAAAGAAGGAACAGCTGCTGCAGCTCTCTCTGTTGAAACCCCAAAGCTTGAGTTAAGAACTGAAACGAGTCCTACCAGACATGATTCCCCTGTCACCAATGGTCTTTCACCCACCTCATCCGAACCTTCTGTTTCCTCTGTAGAGGATCCCCCCACCTCCCCACCCATAGCAACATCCTTGTCTAACAACTTTTCCCTTAATATAAGCAATAATAATACATCCAAGACAATGACATTGAATGCGGAGACCTCGCAGCCTGAAGCAACCAAGGATACACCAACTTCACCACCACCAGCAGCACCAATCAGTAGCCAGGGGAGTAGGAAAGTACCTCCAGCCATCAGACCTAAACCGCAGAAAGGACCACGCCCCTTCAGACCAGCTTCCACGTACGGCAAGGTATCAGCACCAGAGAATGAAGAGGGTTACTCTTCTTCGCACGTGAGGAAAGTTACAGACCTCAGAAGTGTAAGTATTAAACATCCTAACAATTAACGTACCACAAAATGCAAATGCAGATAAGACGTAGTGATAGATCTCCAAATGACTAGACATAGAATTGATGCTCGAAATGTATTTTGCTTTGGAAACAAAACAAGTCAAACGATATGATTGGCAAAGTTGATAAACATATAAAGCCATCAGTGTAATTTCTCTCTTGTTAATGATATCTCTTTGATGTCTCTAGTATTCATTTATAGAGATAGACAAAAATAGAGAGAGGGGGAGAAAACAGCATGGCACGATGTCTATCCCACTTGAAGTTCTGAAGAAATTGTAGAAAAGCCTTTTATTTGTTATTGATGCATATAATTACATGTATGCCTAATGTTTTGTAGTGTTACTGTAGTACAGCTGCTTACACCACAATTGCATAGCTGTCAAAATATTTGTATAATGCAGAGCTTGCCAATATATAATCTTTTGTGAGATCCCTCCCATGTGTTTGCATGGTATTATTTATGTCTAAAGTACATTGTGAAAGAACCATTATATTTAGGCAGAAGCCAGCCATAAATGATCTGTTTGATATGTTATCAAATCATCCTCCCTCAAAAAGAAAAAATAATCACCCATAAATTTTGTTGTTGTAGCATTTTATTATCCAAGACGATTACCGGTATCCAATATTGATACCATTAGGGATTCATTTGAATTTGGTATAATCACAGATTTATGGTATTTTAAGACAAGAAATAATTTTATCATGCAAGGAGCAGAATGAAACTTGATATTCAGTATTAACTTGTTTTAATAATACTCAAAGATGTTTACTTTTTCATTTAGTCTTAGTGATACTTTAGTCACATGCATACCAATTATGCAATAAAGCATAATTTGATGTGGAAAGAAACTATAATAGTAGTAGAAATTAGTTGATAATTGCAATTAATTGCATGAAATTAGTTTCAACATTCGGATCACATGATTTCCTTCCTTTGCAGTGTATTTAGAAATTGTTTCATTCACATTTAATCTTCATTTGAAAAATGTATTGCCTTTCATGAAAATTGTTGAAGAATGTTTATAAAATTGTTGACACAGGAATTTAAATAATGGTGAAGACGTCTATGGAATGGGTAGGTAGACGAGAAGCTTTTTTTAATGCACTCATTCTCAGCCTGCCATTTCTTTTGCAACAAGCAAGTTTTGTTTTCATGATTTCTCGCTGAACATTTCATCTTTTAGGGCAGATTGTTTTCATTTGAGACAAGTTGGCGAGTGTGTGTGGGGGTAAAATAACATTTGCTGCATGTATGTAGAGATAACTGATGCCAGAGTTTAGACTGTCATTTCATGTAAATATTGTCCAGTGATTGCTGTCTTGGGACACTGCTTTATTTGTTAAACCATTTGAGAAGTTAGAAAGGGGACCAATCACCCACACCCACCCACCCACCCACCCCATTTTTGTATTGATTTCATTCAATATCAAAATGATACAAATAATTCTTTTGAATACAATGGAAAGCTGAGATGAAGGTCATTGCAGACCAAATTGTAAAATGCACAGAGAAAAAATACTGGATACGTTCTCATGACAGTTATGTAAACATTATTCATTTATGCACAAGCAGTGCAATCCATGATTCACAGGTGGAAGTATTCTTTGAAAAGGGGAAACAAAGGCTATTTATATGTAGCACCTCCATCACTGTAGGAGAGATTATTTCAAAATGTACAGAGTGCACGGGACCTCTTCATGTTTTTGAAGATCTATAAATATTCAGGGTCATTTGGGACATGTGCTAACGATGTATTGGTCTATTCAGGTTTTTTGATAATTTCTAACACCTTAAAATTTATGATAGTGTTTATTTGGGTGATCGGTCCTGGACTAAACTTAGGAGAATTTCTTAATTTAAACCCTCAATTCATGGATTTTTTTTAATTTTTAACACCTTACAGTTATTGATCATAGTGTATATTTGGGTGATTGGTCCTCTGTATGGTATAAGGCCTGCCTTCATCAGCTCAAGTTTGCAGAATAACCCGCTATTTTCAGACATGGGATAGTATCCCTAGGCTCTAAATTGCGTCTTCACCAGACCGATACGCTCAACACAAACTAGTTCGAACAGGCACAATTTAGCCCGCTATTTCCCGAATAGCAGGATATTTAGCAAACAAGACCAAGATATCTCGACCAAATATCCCTCTAATTGCAACTGCGGGCTGATGAAGACGCAAATTAAGTGGTTGATTTGCCATCAGGATATTTAGAATAGTGGGTTATTTGGCAAACTCGAGCTGATGAAGACAGGCCTATAGATGCATGTAGTGGTTATTGTGAGGTAGTTTTATAGCGAAATATACCGGTAGTGGTATAAAAAGATGCATCTAGATATAATGCAAAATACATATTTGTAGAAAATCAAAGTATCATCACATAGATGTAGAACCACATTGTTAGGAAATAGAGCTTGCAAAATCATGTACAACCTTAATTAGGCTCCATTAAACCTACTGTTTCATTTAGATATGACAAATGAGACAAAACTATGACACATTTTGTGCTCTAGACGCATCCATTCGTGCCGCTACTTTTCACTAGGATACTTAACGGTAAACGTACATATCGTAAAATTGATTCATGTCATGCAGGTAACACAATTATGTGCAGCCTTTTAAATTTTATAAATATGAAGTTCATCAAATATTTCTTTTGGAATGCCTTATTTTTTATAAAATCACACTTTTGAATACTGGTACATGTATTTTTAGAAAAATTAAAAATTTTAATGGTAATATTATCTTTATTATTATGGGCCGTGGGTCATGATGTTTATATTTGAATACCCTAGATGACTTAATTTTTAGAAACTTATGCGCAATGTGATAGTTTGCCTTTTTTATCAGCTTCATCTCAAATTTTCTCAGGCCTGTTTTTATGAGTTTTTCTGCATGGATGTATCAAAATCAACTTGATGTTATCTGGGATTGTTCATATTTGCATTAGATGTGGAAGTCTGTTTGCATGGGAGCCAGTCATATTGGTCATGGGCTTGATTTTTGCTGAGATAGAATCTCAATTTCATAACATCCAATCATAAAAATTTGATCATTTACCACACTGTAAAATAGACAAAAAGTTGTTTTTTTCCTTCTCAATAAGGAGTTAGAAAGTACTTTTTCACTGACAGCAAGATAAATATGAAGCAAGTATACGGCAGTCACGGCCAGCTATATTATGTTTGCCAATTAAGTTTAGTATAAGATGTTCATCGCATTGGAGTTTCAGGTTCCTAACATCAAATGGAAGGCCATCTGTGATGAGAGCAAGCAGCAATTTAGCAGAAATTTTTCAATTTAATATTTCAATTGTATTTGAAGACAACAATAATTGATTACTTGCATAAAATCCTAAATGAGTCTTCTATACATGCATCAGTGATCAGCCCTGCTTAGCTTAACACATGGCAGATACCCATTCAAATCTTACAATTCACCCCTTTAGATTCCGGTATGCACATATGTCAGTTACTTTACCCTTTATTTTGTTAATGCTATCGTAAATGTACTACTGCTTTTTTTTTAATTCTGCATTTTTGTTCATTGGAATATTCTTTTTTTTTGTGGGGGTGGGGGTTCTGGAGGTCCAGGCAATAAGATTTGTGTGAATTTGATGATGTTGCTCATCATGGATTGTAAATCCAAAAACCATACTGGCCCCTGTAAACACAAAGCTTGGCAATTGATCGTAGTAGGCCCACTATTGATTAATTGAGACGATTAATATTAAAGAGAATGTGCACCATTCATTTAGGTTACCATCCTGTAATTATGACATTCTTATGTTCATTTTTGAGCTTATTGTTGAAGTTTGACCCTGTCATATTTCTTAAACATGCATGCCTATGGTAAGTAAACAGGAACAAAAACTGCTTCACAAATTAGAAGTGTGTGACTATGTTTGCAGTGCTTTGCTTTTATTTCCTTGCCATAACATTGTTGATAAGATCGATAAGTGTTATTTCTCCTTTGTAATTCAATTTTAAAGACTGTTTAACTGCTTCGTCTCTGCGTGTAAATACAGATATAAGGGTAAACAAAAAAATTGATTGAGAATGCGGCTTTCAATAAATCATTGAAGTGACTGTTCTTTCCTTAATCCTTACCCATGCAAGCAATTTGAATGAAGCAATTGAGGATGAAGTAGATCAGATAAGAAAGTATTTAATATTCTGTTTTTCTTTCCTCGCCACCATACAGATGTTCATGCTGGGGAAGTGAAGACGCTACCTCTGAGATGTGACCAAACAGAATCCACAAGATTTTAACACAACCTTGTTTGACAATCGAGCTTGCCTGAAAAACATTTCTAAGACCAGCCTTTAAAAAAGATACTCTAAACATAGACAGAAATAACCGTCTGGTATGGGTCATTCTTTAATTCCCCATACACATATGTATAGAGGCGGTCAGAGGAGCCAGATGTAATCTCAGCGGAACAACCGTCGATATCAGAGACTGAAGCTTTCGGTCTACTCTAAACATTGCCATGGTGAACACATTGGATGAAGAATGACTCGAGTGAATTGAGAATCTCTTGTGAGATTGATGTGATAAATGAAGTCAACTTAAAGTTGACAAAGTTGGTGAAGCCGTCATGATTTTTAGTATTATGCTCTACACACACTTTACGATCTGACTGCGATCCAATTTTGGAAGAATTTGGAATAGCATTGATATGAACATTCAAACAAGCTTCTGAAATAAAAAAGAAATGAATAAAACTGAAAATGTTTAAGTATTGCAAACCTCCTTGATGGATAAAAGTCAAACCGGCTCTGAATCTTAGTAACGTAAAACATATTTTGTGATAAGATTTAAAGCTGTTTGGCCAGTGCTCTGGCTAGAAGAGTTTAATACAATGCATTCTAAATAATGGAAAGATTATATATCTGATGACTGATGTCCTTTCAGTTTCTTTGAAAATCGGATGACAGTGGATCATATAGTGTTTGGTGGGCTGTAGATAATAGTATCTGAACACTTTCTATGAAATACTGCAGGCCTACTACTTTGTGCCACCCTGCATCTGTCTGTGACATACTATGTTTTACTTTTCTATTCTATTTATCACCATGCCCTTATGATAGGATAGTGATGCAGAATGATAACCCCCACATATAATTCTCTATACATTTTAAGTACATTGTATTAAAAAATGACTTGACCAGGTAAATATGAAGTATTCAAACTCTGAAAAGAGGGATAGATCATCCATTTTCCCACTACCGTAATCATATAATTGGGAACTTGAAATAGAGCACATTATGTGCAGATATTTTGTTGTTGTGTTAATCTTGAATGTATTTGTGAAGATAAATGTAAGAATAGAAATGAAGTAATGAAATAAATTTATTCAGATAAGATGTATTCATTATATATGTATTTATCAAGAAAGTTGCTATGTCAGTATGAAACATCTTAACTAAAATAGAATTGAGACTTGTCATAATATGAAAAAGAGGTCTCATTGACAAAGATTTTTAGTAATAATAATAATAATATTCCGCTTTATATAGCGCTTAATACATCTGTGATGTCTCTAAGGTGCTTTGTAGATATACTAGTAGGGAGGCTGATTCGAGAGCTCATAGAAATAAAGATTGAAATCAAGTGTAAATCATTGATACTGTATTTGATACAGGTACAAGTTTGACATGGATATTTTAAACACCTTGATCTGTGAGACCAAAGTGAGTGTGATCATGTGGCCTTTTTTTTGTATTGCATGATTTTGCATCTAAAGTAAACCAATAGCTAGCCCCCATCGAGAAGGCCTATGATAAACAACTGGGCCTCGTCTTTTGAACAGTTGATATTAATCGCTCCTTATTTGCAGTTGATATCAATCGTATCTTATATCAATCACAACTACAGTCGAACCTGTCTATAGCGACCGCCCCAGGGAAACACAAAAAATGGTCTTTGTAGACAGGTTCCTTTAGTACATGTTTCAATGAGAAACTGGTTTCATGGGAAAGAAAAAAAACATGGTGTTTGAAGGCAGGTGGTCACTAAAGCAGGTTTGACTGTATGTACATAAGAGATAGGAAGGATTTGTGTTTGGTTTGAATTGCAACTGACGGGGGCCCAGTGAGAATAATAGCAAGATAGTGAGTGGATTCTTGTCTCAATCTTCATGACAGTTGTTTCTCGTATGATGACTTGTTGGTGGGCTAGCTATTTAGAAGGTTTTACATTTGCAATCTTTTTTATTTCCAATAAGTCTGGGGGAACCCTACCCCTGTATATTTGCAACAATTTTTATGTAATTTTCTTATGTAGTTTTTCTTGTTTTAATCCACAAAGATCTTTCACAAATGTAATGCCTCAAGTTTTTTATTTTTAGAATTTTTTAAAATAATGATTCCAGAGTGGCTTATTGGAGCAAGGTTTAATGAAAGTAATAAGACGCTCTGAAATCATTTCTATTTCTCATTGATTATCATGTCTCACTGTACAATCTGTTATAAGTTTATTTCAATTGTCATTCAAAATGTCAAACTTGTAAAAGTTTTTTTGTTGAAGCATGTCAATATACGAGGAGAGTATTACTGCATGTAGAGGTGTCGTCTAGTGAATATATGTCTGACGTCAGACGATCACAGGGTTTGCAGTTCAAGTCCCACTGCAGCACTAATGTCCTTTTGCAAGACATCAATTTACATTTGCCACTCTTCACCCAGTTAAATTTGTATTGGCAAACAGAAATTCCTTGAATGCTGTGAGCACTGATACGGTAGCCTAGCAGAGACGGGGTAATATTGGAGCACCTTACATATTATTATAGCAAACATATCCATCACGTCTGGACATGATGTACTGTAATATGAGGTATAAACATATTTAAGTGTTCTGCTTATTTGCAATAACAGCAATGCAAATGTGTCATAAAAATGTATGAAGGTTTGCACTTTGTAAGTTGTCTGCATGTTAGTCATGTCATGTGAGCCCTGCTTATATTAGTCAAAAGCGTCATGTTTCCATTTTTTGTTTGATTAGTAATTGGCATTAGAAAAAGTTCAACTTTGGAAAGGTTATGTAAATATATGAAGTGTTTACAGCCACAAGAATTCATATCACCAATGGGTATGATTTCTAATGATACCTTGGTTGCTTTTGTACGGCCATGCACCAACTGAACATATTGTCTTTAAGAAAATTATGTGAATCGCAGTTAGATCACTTTCTTATGAACCGCAATAGGTTCTTCTTCTTCTTCTTCCTGATGAGCGATTGCAAATAGCAAGCTGATTATTCTGTCACTTTCAAATGAGGGCGGCATTGCACGTTGCAGTGATTTGGTTTCTTGTTGAATTAAATAAGGCAAGATAAAACCAGAAACAAATAAGGATAACAAATTAAACAATTGTGGCTCAGGACTGTTAACACAAAAGTGTCTTCCTAGCCATCAGTAAGGAAGTGAATCTAATCCTGGGTTAGCTTTAATTTTAACACAAGATCTTTAAACAGCATTAAACAAAAGTTCTGATAAATGTTTTGGCAAAGAACAGATGAGATCCTAACAGGAGAGCCATTAGGGCATTTATTTATGGCATATTTTAAGTTTGAGTTATGCCTTTCACGCATTGAAGGAAAGCAGATATTCCTGTGAGTTCAAAATAATATACACATAATTTACTTGTAGTCTAGTCCTTATTGTCTTCTGTGATTACTCTACAAAATTATTTTTTTCTTTTTCTTTCTGTGATTGGGTGCTAGATGCATGTATTTACCAAAATAAGTCATCCAAAAATTAAAGCGCCGCAGCCGATAAAAGTATTTTGTATTTGAATTACCTGGCTCATTTATACATTTATACGTCTCTTCCGATGAACATTTTTAAAGTAATGAAAAGAAACAAAACTGTATAAATCCCAAACCGTATTGAAAGTTTATTTTTTATTATACATTAATTATGTAATAGGTTTCAAGAAAAGAAACAAAACAAACTTTTTTTAAATTCAAGAACATTTGTACCATATTATGTCATCGCCATTCATGAAAATGAAAATAACAATTTGTAGTTCAAGATGTCATAAATATTTCTTTGGGTGGATATAAATTATTCTACATGAAAATACACATAAGATTTCTGGAGAATTATATATATATATATATATATATATATATATATTTTTAACTTCTTTGCTGTAAAGTATACAGCGATGTTCTCGTTTTATATATTTTATCAAACTTTATAAATCTCCATTCTTATTTCATTTCTGTGTCTTTGTTTACATGTTGGTGCTTAATCTTTTAATCTGCTTGATTAAATATCTTGCAATTATAAGGAGTTTATCCACAAGATTTATCCACGGAATGCAAGTTATAGTGTATGTGCAAGGAATAGATGGGTGTTTCAGTGTTATTAGATATAAGCTGTCACATGATACTGTAATATCAGATCAGTATGTATGTTTATAGAAAATCTTTTCTGAGATATATTTGATAAAGTTCTAGTGTTCATCTATATATCGTTACAAAATTCTGAACAGTACTGCTCTTTTTTTCTTTTTCTTTTTGGTATTACTTATCTGAAGAACATATAGACTATTGTTAATCCTTATTATATAGATGCTTTTGACATTATTTTGGCATGCATATTAATGATTATATTAAGCTTTTATTATTCAAATATATCATACATGCATATTCTTGAATAGCCTTTTAAACATCTTTTTCTTTTATATTTTATATTTTTTAAATACACCTTCAATCATATTTATATACTATGAATGAATATGCTTGAGCAACCATTTCAGATTGGATTTTGATATGAAATGAAGCTATCTTATTTGTTTATTATGATGTCATTAAAAAGATCATGTGACATCTCTGCGACAAGCTACATCCATGTAGATAATAGTCATCATGTTTCACATGTATAAAATGCTGATGATTAATTTTCCTCGTTTTGAATTCCGTAAGGACAAAAAATCAAGGTGATGTTTTTTTTAAATTCCAGTAGAATTGAATTTTTTTTTTTTATTGATATCCAGCTTGTATGCCATTTTAACTTGCAATGTTAATTTTAGTCTTTATTTTTGCATATTTCTGATGCATTTTATTTTCAATTTGTCTTAAAAGGACAAAATCATAGTGTAAACTTTACCTTCTTTTACATTTCATAAATATTGTGATTTGTATGTATCATAATAAAGAAAGGGAAATTAAATTGATTCAAATTGGTTTATTAAAAACACTGCCGCCCAAAGGCTGAAACTGTTTATTCACCCCCCCCCCAAAAAAAAAAAGTGAACAGATGCATAACATTATCAAAAAATCATGCAAATTGTGCTAAATCCCCATGTGTAGTATTTGCATTTGAAAAATATAATGGAAAAACCATACATAGGTTGTGTAGCTGGGAAGCAAAGATCATATTGAAGCTAGATATTTTTCTTTTCTTCATATCTTGCAAAATATTATCAAGATCATTATCTATATACTGTATTCAAGCATTTTACTTGTATCATTTGTCTATAGCAATTACATGTATATGATTTTTCCCTATATGGTAACATATATTTCATGTATTCAATCATTCATTCATTCAGTTAGAGTGTATTCCAGGAAATGTCCATGTTTATGAATTCCAACTGAGATTATTTATCCTGATCCATTGATGTATTCCAGATATATTCATTATTTTTAAAGAGAATTATCTATGAAACAGTTGGGATGGTTGGTTGGCTATAGCATTTATTGGATCAGATATATATAAGCTGATGCCTATTATCATAGTCCTAGAATGTTTCTATAAGGTGAGAGGGACAGAGAGAAAAGTATTTTATTTATGTCATACAGTGTATTAATTACTGTCAATTCTTGTATAATATATATACATGTATATGCTAATGAAATAAAAAAAAAAGAGAATTCATACAAGAATATGTGTGTTTGTGTCATCCTATCATATGTGCGTTTTGTGTCGTGCGATAATGTGTGTGTTTGATCATGAAAGGCCCTGTACAATCGTACCAAAGCTCTCGCCAAGTTATCATTGTGATCATATTTATCAAGACGGTCATTTACTTCAAATCCAGTATACAAACTTTTAAAGTTTATCTTCTTCAGTTTCCTTAATTAGATTATCAGACAATGATTTGGACTTACCCAAACTACATCTACATTTAGTAGTATTAGAAAACATTTCCATCACCGATGGAAATTATATAGGTATTTAATTGCTGAAAACAAATAAGGATGAAATTGATGCAATCCCGAGTGAGGTCCTGGCAAGGTACTCATGTGCGACTACTTGGTAGTGATGGCGATGATGATGAGACAATGATGGTGGTGGTGATGATGAGATGATAATGATGGTAAAGATAATGAAGATGGTTGTGGTGTTATTGACGATGGTGGTGGTGTTGACGGTGGTGGTGGTGGTGATGATGGTGGTGGTCATGATGATGATGGTAGTGATGATGATGGTGGTGGTGGTGGTGGTGGTGGTGATGAAGGAGGTGGTGGTGATGATGGTGGTGGTGATGATGATGGTGATGATGAAGATGAAGGTGGTGGTAATGGTGGTGATGATGGTGTTGACAATGATGATGGTGGTGGTGATGAAGATGATGGTGGTGATGAAGATGGTGGTGATGAAGATGATGATGGTGGTGATGATGGTGGTGGTGATGAAGATGGTGGTGATGAAGATGATGGTGGTGGTGATGATGGTGGTGGTGATGAAGATGATGGTGGTGATGAAGATGATGGTGGTGATGGAGATGGTGGTGGTGATGTTGATGGTGGTGGTGGTGATGGTGGTGGTGTTTACGATGGTGGTGGTGATGATGATGGTGGTGGTGTTTATGATGATGGTGGTGGTGGTGATGAAGATGGTGATGGTGGTGATGAAGATGGTGGTGGTAATGATGATGGTGGTGATGATGATTATGGTGGTGGTGGTGGTTATGAATCTACATACATTTTTATTTGTAGAACTGGGGGGTGCTGAATTATGCTGACTTGAGCTTGGCTGATGTGATTATTATCTAATGCAAGCACACTACAAGTTCCAGTGCTTGTTTCATAAAAGTTAATATATGCCCCCCCCCCCCCCCATCATCTATCTCTCTTTCATTCTCTCTGCATTTCCTTACCTCTCTTGTTCTCACTCCCTCTCCATCAGTATTGGTGTATTGAAATGCTTCTATCTTTTACTCATTCTCAATCCTCATCTTTCATCCTTTTAGTGATTTCATCTCATTTCTTCTTTTGTTATTTAAAGGGAAATACAGCAACCCTTAATAAGTTGATTTGTATGAAAACAGAAAAATAAACGGAATGTCAAAAGTTTGAAATAAATCGGACCAATAGTAAAGAAGTTATGAATGTTTGAAATATGAAGTCACTAATTCTATGCGAATCTCAAATCAGTAGTTTGGTCAGTGGATTGTGACGTAGGATGCGGATAACTCTCCCATTTGCTGTGTACAATAATATCACTAATTTCTGTTTTTCTTGCAAGTTCCTTCTTCCTTGGGGCACTACTCAAAATATATTACAGATATTATGACTTCTGAGCCATGATTTCTTGACAAATTTAGATTTTAGTCATTTTATATGTTGGAACAGATGGGAAGCTACCGGTAGTCCGGCACTTCATGACATCGACATGACCGCTTCAGCAAATTTGACGTGCCCAAACGTATAGTGATTACAACTTTCAAAAATCCATAGCTTTCTTATATTTAGTCAGCTTTAATTGAAACTGTCATCAGTTTGCTTCTCTGATTTTTCTGCTTTCTTTTAGAGTAGTTGTCTATTTGGGTTGGATTTCCCTACTATAAAAACAATTTTAATCAAGATTAAATGGATGTCCTCCCCTAGTTTTGGTGATGTAATTTCAGAGTTACATTTTTAACCACTGAAGATTAGAATGAATATTATTTTTTTCCTTACTAAATTTTAATCATATTTGTTGAAATTTGCAGGGATGTTTTACATGCATTCAAAGCCATAGAGACCCGATTACCAATTGAAGGCATATTTCTTGTACAAAGTTTCTTTTGACAACTTAAAAACTTGCCAAACATAGCAACAACTGATGTATGCCAAGTGGATCCCATCCATAGATATTCATGGCCATGTCGAAATATTAAACATTACTTTCAAATCTATATTTCATCTTTTATTCCTAGAAAATTCTGTCCTTTATCATTACATTATGACAATTACATTCTCAATTGATATTGTATCAAGAAAGCACTAATAAAACACAGAATTAATATATTTGAAAGTGCTGATATATTTCTTGAATAACACATCTTCACCTATCATATATACAAATGTACATGAAGTATATGATCTTAATATTAATATACTTTTTAAATTCCATTGGGAAGTTGATTAAATATGAGTTTAAAATCTGGGTTTGACACCCAAAATTTGGCGTTCTGAGAGGTCCTCCAGGAGTTCTGCTAAATGCAAATTTTGATGGGCTACGTCATCGTTAATAGTCACACTGCTGGCGAGTCAACCTTCTGCGGCAAACATGTACATATTGTAAATAGGAAGTATGTTTCCGTAAATGAAAAGGCCAGCATGGCAGGAACAACTACCTGTGCATTCTATAACAATCACCGGTAGAAGAAAAGTGGTAGTTTAAGAAAGAAATTTATCATATATTTTCTGATGAGATTTTCAAAATGAGCAAAGGAGAAAACCTGAGCTCGAGCTAAAGCTTCGCCTACCTGCGATGTGTGATTGCACCAAACCAAAGTAGCCTATGATAGGAATCACCACAAAGACAGTTTCCAATTCTGCAGGATAAATTTGATCTAGATATTCTCTATAAAAAGTAACATTTCACTTATACAAATGAAACCACTAATTATCAAGTATAAATCCCATTCCTGATGCAGGTAACGCAATATTTTATCCCATATTGGTAATGATTCTCATAAAGTGATGTGTGTATGCACCTCACATGCAGCAAAAGAGAGAACAAAATCCATCACTCGTTATCTGACCTATCATCTCACAGTGTTTCAAAAGGAATACATTCTACTTTGTAACCTTTCACTACTCATGTGTTGTGAGAACCATCTGTAGATACAAACCATGTTTTGAGACACAAGCATTGTGCAAGGATTCAAACATCACACCATCTTGACTAAATGTCAATATACACATTTGGCGTTCATACTGCTGAAGTCTATGGGGAGTCTGGCTGGGTTAGACTGAATGTTCTGTACATGAAACCAGCTTATAATTTAACTGGCCCGTCTTCTCCTTGCGTAGCACATTCTGCAGTGAATATTTTCTTCTTTAACTTCTCTGTAACTTCTCTGTGGCTAAAATCATCACAGCATCTTTACTGAACCTCAAGATACAACATGTGTCATGCATACTGCTGAAGTCTGCTGATGAAGTCTGGCCGGGTTAGACTGAATGTACATGAAACCAGCTTATAATTTGACTGGTCCGTCTTCTCCTAGCATAGCACATTCTGCAGTAAAGAGTTTCTTCTTTAACTTATCCATAACTTCTCTGTGACTCAAACATCACAGCATCTTTACTGGACGTCAAGATACAACATGTGTCATGCATACTGCTGAAGTCTGCCAGGGAGTCTGACCATGTTCGACTAAATAAACATGAAACCAGCTTATAATTTGACTGGCCCGTCTTCTCCTTGCATAGCACTTTCCGCAATCAAGATTTTCTTCTTTAACTTCTCTATCACCTCCTCTCCTCCTTTCACCTTCCTGTTTGTATTCAATAAGAAGTGATGCATAAAGAGTCCCAGTCCTTCTCTCAAGACTCGTAGCTTGGCCACCGACGCAACTCCTCCAAAGATAGACGTGATGGCATTGTCTTGTTTCTCTAGAAGTAAGTCTGTTAGAAGACTACTCAGGAACCTCACCGTGTGCTTGTTCATGTCTGCAAACTCTACAATCTAGAAGACAAAAACAATGATTGGGGATTAAATCATACCCTACGCATATATTCATTGGCAAGATTCTGATTGAAAATTCTCTTTCCAATCATCATTCACATATATCTACAAAAACAATGCCAGTTTCAGAGAATGAAGGTTGGAAGAGTAAGTCAGAGTAGCATCTTCACCTTCTAATTAGTGTATGAAGAGGTTTTGTATCAAACATACTGAACGATATTGTTTGTCCAAAGGGTGGCCTTCTCAGAGTAAATCTATATTGCTGGAGTTTTTTTAAATAAAGATAACAAATTTACCTAAAACTTGCAAAGAGTAATGTTATCAAAATTACTGGACAGTCATGATTTTAAACATTCTAACTGTACACTCATGGTTTATACATCTCTTATATGAGGAGTTTTATCACAGGAATAAAAAAAGGAAATGACAAAACTAGGAGTACCAACCTTTATTACTGAGAGAGGAAGAGCTTTACATGATATGAGATGAGAGAGGAGGAGAGCTAGGTTTCTTGAGGCGGAAGGACTCAATTCTTCCAGCATACGAATCTTGTCCCATAAAGCAAACTGGAATGCCATCTACAAGAAAGAAGAATTAATACAACACACACTTATGAAACTTCATAATAATCATAAACAATTCAATCTGCCAACAAAGGCCATCCAAGGGAAACAGAGAAAGTCGCCATTGCTAAAAGGTGGCCTTTCTAGACAGGTTCTACAACACACATTGCTTTCTTGAGGAAAACAAAATACAGAGCCACTGTTGACAGGTTACCTTTATAGAAACGTGGTCACTAAAACAGGTTTGACTTTATTATCAAATGGCCTTGAGTGGAATACAAGGATATACTCCACATTATTTTTTAATCAAATTCAACAGTAATCACAGGGAGTAAAAATTTACTTTTGTCCATACCAAGCACTTGCAAGGGCTGTGTGAATACATCCATTGTTTTAGCTAATGTGTATTTAACCATGTTTTCACATTTTTACACATTTTACGCATTCGTACAACCCAAATCATGTATCGAAGCAGGAGACAAAGACAGAGAAAATCTTACCCTAAATTTCCTGTCAAACTGGCATAGTTTATCACTGACGTAGGCATAGTAAGGGTTGTAAGAACGCTCCTGCTGACAGCAATCTAGGGTCACATGAACTACTTCCCGGTCACGACCTCCTTTCTGTCCCAGCCTCACCAGCTTCTCAAAAGCATCTGTATAATCCTACCAAAACAAAAACAAATTCATTTAAATATTACTCTAAGTGTTTGTTAATTTCGAAAGTGGTTCAGATTCAATTCGGAAGATTCATGCCAAAAAAATGATTTATTTACAACTGCTACAAGACAAAATGTCTGCCATTTGTGAAAGTTTCATGTTGTAAAAAATGTTGGTATTCAAAACATCTGTGTAGTCATATCAAACACAAACAAATCATGCCCATATTTCCTCCACAATAACAAATCCTAAATTTCTATGATAAATTTGCTCTCAGCCAACTAAATGCCTTGATTTCAGTAGCTTATAAGAGTTATTGAGACGTGTTCTTGATAACAAGTTTTATGAAACAGGGACCTACCGGTAATCAAGATCTGTCCCTTTCTGGCTATAGAAGCCAACAAAAATAACCTAGTCTGTTTAGGATGAAATCAATCGTAGCAAATACATACCTCCCCAGTCATGATGATACTGAAGATGGTTCGTCTGATGTCTGTATTCATTCTCTGTTGCCGTGACAACTCACTAATCTTGTTACTGCTTTCTAGGTTCTTGCCGACAATCTCATCCAGCTGCCCTCCTGAAGATTGGTCACTGAAGATAGGAATAGATGTATAGTAAGCTCATCGGTGTAGTTCTAACACTCAAATGACTGTAACATGCATATTGTCATTTAAATTTGTTGGCCTTAGCATCATGCCAGTTATACAGTGAAACCTGCATATAGAAACTGCTCAAGGGGAAAAGAAAAGTAATCTTTATAGGCAGGTGATCTTTATGTACAGGTTCCTTTAGTACAGGTTTCAATTTGAAACTATTTTCAAGGGAAACAAAAAAATGTGGTCTATACAGACAGATGGTCTTCCTATACAGGTGGTTGCTATTAAAAGCAGGTTTGACTGTATACTACTTTTCTTGAGATGCAAAGCAAATATGCAAATATTGCTGTATTGATAAAGAGACTTATCTGTCCAAATTTACAACATGCATTACTTTTAACAGTCACTAAATCCAACCTCATTAAAATTGCAAGAGAAAAATTTGTTTTTAATGAAAAAGGAAAAGAACTTGAAAAAAAAAGCCTTCATGGGTCCATCCAACATCAAATTAAAAGTGTGCAACAAGTTTAAAATATCAATTCAAAGCCCTAAAATTTGTGAAACTCAAAGCTTAGAACTGGGCAGTTATGGCCGCTGCCATTTTTTTCTCTCACAGAGTGCCAATATTGTATATGACTGCAGCTACAATGTACTGCACATACAAGTGTGTGTATATGTCTTTCCAAATGGACAATTCTTATATAAACTTTGTACACGTCAGAGGCACTTATAATTTGCACTGTGTTTCATAAACTTCTTTCAAGTCAGAATATTCTCTTCAAGGTAGAAAATAACGTTACACGATATGAAAACTCTAATTACCTGACATTCTGTTTAGGGCCATGACCGCTCCAAGCCGATCCTACAATCCACCAACGCCCTCTTTCATCAGCCAAGATGAGATCAGCGAGCGAGATGCGAAGCGTGGAATCATCGCCACCTACAATATACATAGTTATATCATTTGAAGCCCCACTGCACTACTTATAGCTACTTGCGCCCTCTACATAGCAAACAATTCCTAATGATCGGTGATCGTTGGTCCCCCATGGTCCCCTTTTTCTTATATTAATTGAAAGCTGATTTGATGAGATAACCACCTGTCAGTGACCATGCAGGGAGGTCTAATCCCTCCTGGCTAGACTAGTGCAGATAGGCTTTAACACACTGAGTAACAATTAAATAAGTTCAGGGAGATAGATTGAGTCAATATATCTTACAACACATTTCATATTATCATGAAGCTCAATAGATATGTTGTTCAACACAAGCATAATCTGAGGAGCTAATTCACCTCTGCATAATAACATTTGGTGTACTGGAAAAAAATAGGAGAGTTGCCCACCACTACATCACAATGACTCTTCCGATACCAAACTTCCAAATTTCCCTTTGTGCAGCAATTTAAAAGAAAATTGTAATTTTCAATTGTATCTGTCTTTTTATCTTAATTAACAACTTTCATTTTGATTAGATTGTCTTCCTATGAAAATACATATCGTTACCTAGTTTGAGCCTGATATCTCTAGTGATTCTTGAGATATCGGGATAACGAGGCGAATACCTGGAATTTCATAAGTGGACCTCTGAGACCTTTGACCTAGTTACTACAAAATCTAATGACCTCATTCAAATTTTCTACAATTTATATGTCTGCTTTCCTTCAAAGCAACTTGCTATTGCATCGCCCTTCAAACGTACCTCTGTCTTTGATGATGCTCCGATGTAGTTTCCTCAGTCTATCAAGGTTTGTAGGGTCATAGTTGGGGATCCTACGTAGGTTGTTGTTACGTAACGCACCAATTGTCTCAAGCATAAACTTCACTCGAGACCTGCGTACAGAGAATTGAGATTACAACCAATTTAATTATAAAATGTTCTTAATGAGTCTTCACTACTGTGCATGACATTATCAATTACACATGCATTCTTTGTTATCTATAACACAAATATATTATCGCATGTATCCCACACACTGAATAGTCTAGGTAAATACATATACTGAGTGAAACCTGTATAGAAAGAATGCCTAAGGGAGACAAGAGAAACGGTTTTTATAGGCAGGAGGTCTTTATGTACAGGTTCCTGTAGTACATGTTTCTATGAGAAATGTTGTTCAAGGGAAAGAAGAAAAAAAAAGTGGTCTTTATAGACAAGTAGTTAATCTTTATGAGTAGTCAAACCAGCTTTAGTGACTACCTGTATAGAAAGACCACATTTTGTTGTTTCTCTTGAAAATAGTTTCTTGTTGAAACCTGTACTAAGAGAACCTGAACATAAAGACCACCTGCCTATAAAGACCCCTTTCTAAGTTTCTCTTGAGCTATGTTTCTCCAACAACAACAAAACTGAAGAAAACGATATTTAAAGGCCCACTGTACTACTTGTTGCTACTTGCTCCCTCTATATAGAAAACAATGCCTAATCGGTGACCATTGGTCCCCCGTGATCCTCTTTTTCTTATGTTATTTGAGAGCTGAGTTGATGAGATAGCCACATGTCAGTGACCTTCTTGGGTGGTCTAATCCCGCCTAGCCAAACTAGTACAGACGGGCTTTAAGATGACCTACTGTTGTTTGAGTTCATCTGGACACTGACTGGCATTATTCTGAATGAGAAGGATGATATCCTTGAGGGATGACGGGTCATCTTTTCTGAGTGTGGCTCCTGCACCTAGTAAACAAACAAACAAACAAATAATACAAGTCTGCATGATGGCATACAAGCTTCATGTACATGACATGTATTAAACCCCATACACACAAAAAGGAAGCTGGGGCTGGTTAAAAACATGTATGCGATACATAGCACAGGGAAAATACAAACTGTGTACAAATCAAACACGTGGGATGTTCGCAACATGTGAAGTTTGGGGCCCCGTATCACTGTACTGCGTGCATCGTTTGAAGACATAGGTGCATAATACACATACGACACAAAGCCCATGATCGGAAATTTAGAAAAACATACAAAAACATACTTCCGTATTCATAGCAAAAGAACGTAACAACTACAGCAAAAACGAAACAGTTCGCATCTCTGATGAATGATTGTATCTCAATAGCCAGAATGCAAAATGCATGCACAGCTCAGCTACTCAGCTACTATGTATTTGTTTTAATAATTCATTCGGTTTATAATCTTGAATATTTAGTGAATGTCAATTTATGAGAATCTATTTTAAGAAGGGGGGCTGGAAGGGGGGCTGTGCACAACAGTGTAATGAGGTACCTGAGTACACTCCCAGGCTTACAAGCGAATACTCAAATATTCGGATGCCATGTTTTTTTATAATTTTTTTGATTTTTTTTTTTTAAATTTTTTTTTGATTTTTTTTTATTTATTTAAAAAAAAAAAAAATTTTGTTGATTTTTTGTTGTTGATTTTTTTTTTTGATTTTTTTTTGCCACCACCATACCACTGGAGCAGTATCCCAAGTCCATCGCCGAAAACGCATGCAACTTTACTTCGAGTTGCAGTTAAAGGCGCCGATTTAATAACAATAATAACAGTAAACAATGCTGTTTTAAAAACCAAAGATGGCAGAATAATCCATTTTCTTCCAAGTCCAAACAGAAATCTGGACATTTGGTCCCAGTTTCTGAGTGGTGAGTTTGACAGTGCTTGAGTTGGGAAACATTTTTACCGACAACACCATGCCAGCGGCCGCCGCTCTCCCTGGCATGAGTAACCGTCGGCCTGGGAATTTTTTTTTTTTTTTGCGGCCGAATATTTCAGTAAGAGAAATCGTACTCGAGTAGTTTTCAACCGTGCGGGTACTCGAGCATTCGACTACTCGTCGCAGCCCTAATAAGAAGGCACAACCAGATTATAAATAGTAAAGCAAAATGAACAAAACTAATTACTTTACAAACATAAATTTTTCCTTTTTTAGAATTCTACAACAGATAAGCAGAATCGAATCAGTGGGTCAGACTTTTCTATTCTGCTTGCAATGTTACCAAATTAATTTCAGAAGAACTTACTTTTCAAGATTTGTAGAAGCATTTCGATGTGTCTCTCTGTAAAGCTTTCAGCAAGTTTCTTGATCAGGTCATATATCAGCACACAATGGACAATCTGATGAATAAAATAACACATTGTTTCATTCAATCTGAACTTGGACATTGTGATCACACGTTAAAAAATTCATAAATTTCTTATTTTAATTTGTTTTTTGCTCAAACTTTCACTGATCTTTTTCTCTCATTTTTCTGCTTCTATTAAAAGCAACTTAATATCAGGGTGGACTTCCCCTTTAAAGCCCCACTGTCCTACTTGTAGCTACTTGCTCCCTCTATATAGAAAACTTCCCCAATCGGTGCCTGTTGGTCCCCCATGATCCTCTTTTTCTTATGTTAGTTGAGAGCTGAGTTAATGAGATAGCCACCTGTCAGTGATCTCGCTGTGTGGTCTAATCCCTTCTGGCCCAGTAGTATTGACGGTCTTTAAGCCTGCCAACTGTAACACAAGATATTTATCAGGTACATTACACAATGTAGGATTTCTCAGAAAGGCAATGCATTGCAAGGAGTGTGTTCTTACCTGAAAGTTATAAAGATGAATAAAGAGCATAATGATGTTGTCTAGTTCCTTGCTATCACCATAGTTACCATCATCAGAATGGATCTTATCAAAACGAGTCGCTATGGACTGCAGTACATGGGCACCTACATACAACATGAGAACAATTGTCATAATTGAATTGAATGGAATTGAAATTGAATTAAAAATTAAAAATACTTTTACTTTCAATGCCAGAGCACGTGTGATGAAGGCGTGTCTGGACTTGGACACCAAAGCTATCACACAGGAAAAATTTTGAATTCAAAGAGATGGTAGCGAGGAAGTGAAAGCTGTGAATCTCATGTGTACATCAGTAAATATTAGAAAAGCTCCCCTTCACCAAAAAACATAACATACTATGCTGAACATAGTCTGCTCTTTGAAGTACAAGTGCATGTTCGATTTGTGAGACATTTAAAAAGCCCTCATCAGATATTTGCGAACCTTCAAAAGATTATCAAATTTGTTTTACTGTAGCAGAAAGACTTTGTCCCTTCAAATTGGTATTGCTTGTTGTTGTTGTTTTTGTTGAGATTAATGGCGTTTCCATCATCGTTGGATGATTTTCGCCAGCGAAGTTCAGAATGTAACAATGTTCGTTTGCTTGAATGAATTGCAGTTTAAAGCCCCTCTTATAGTGTTGGGAGTCCCAAATTCGCCAAAAATTTGATGGCAAAATTTCACTTAAATCGTATCGTAATGTGAAAGAGGATGTCATTTAAAACACACTCCTGCAAAGATTTCCCCCTAAAATAAGTGTTTGAAGACTAAAAGAATACATAATTGGGTTTTATGTTGTATGCAGAAAACCTAAACTTTGTATTCTTTCATCGATACTTATTTGTTTCGAAAATCCTTGCAGAAATGTGTCTTAAATGACATCCTCTTTCACATTATGATACAATTTAAGTGAAATTTTGCCATCAAAGTTTTGAGGCTCCTACCACTTTAGAGGGGCTTTAACTTCACTCTCAGTTAACAGTAAAGAACTTACAGGGCTAGTAGACTAGTTGATGCAACATGCGAATGCATTCGCCTAGAATAGGAACTGAATTTACTGATACTTACCCACTTCACTGCCGATGACTGAGTGTAGGATAGCAATCAGAAAAACATGTTCCATGACCAGTCTGTCAGGTGCCATGCTGTAACTGATACATGCATCCTGAATCAGTCGGCTCAAACTCTCATTCATATCTGTCCAGATAAACAGTAATTGTTAGCATACATATATCAATAGGCCATTTTTGTACTGTATCCAAATTTTCTAACGTAAATAATAATAATAATTACTTTTATAGGTAGCTTTATAAAGGCGGTTTCTAAGCGCACAGGTGGTATTATCTAACTCGGTATAATTATTCATCATGTTCAACAGCTTATAAGCAACATAATGAAATAAAATATTACTAATACAAAACAATTCAGTTGAATGTATAGGTCTTTGTGAAGTGCCTGATACAAATTATATGATTCACCTGTTATATCTTTGGAGCTCTTTGGAAGCACATAGAGACTAAGTATTATGCGCTATACAAAAACGGACTATTATTATTATTATTATATGAAAAATTGTATCTCAATAGTCAGAATGTGAATTTCATAAATAAATCATTACTAGGTAAGAAAAGCATCATGGCTTGTCCTAACAACATGTAATGTATACAATTTGGTTTGTGTCGTAGTTGTACAACATGTGTGAGAGTGAGTATAATCAAGGAAGGTACAATGGCCCATTTCATCCTGCAAACAGTTTTGTAAGTCAGTTTGAAGTTGTACAATATCTGAATAAAATTATGAAGACATAATACTGTAAATAATAGTGTTAACCCTGTCTCTCCAATACTCATCATTATTTTCTCTCTAGAAGGGAAGACAAACACTTACCATTGCGGCTGTTGGTGTGATAAAGCTCCTCTATTTGGTTGGAGATGGACAGGGCATTGCTCTCACTCAACCTGTACGAAACAAGAAATGTTGAGATTCATTCTAGAACCTCTCTTATCAACCATAGTCATCAAATGCACTTGACCCCAAAATAAATTGGTTTATTATAAGGGACATGTTTTTCTCCTAGCTCATACTGATGCAACCTCCATATGTATATGTGAAGGCCATCATACACCTTACGATTAGGTTATACGATCAGAAATATTTATCAAATATTGGTTTTAAAAATACATGGGATGAAATGAATTTATGTTAAAAATTGTAAATTGCATCAAACCAAGGTGTAAAACAGTATGTGGAAATTACAGCCTATAATTTGTCTAGCAGTCATAGAAAAAGCAAAATCTGTTCCCGGTCGACATAGCCAGCTGTAAGAATGGAACAATAACACTACAATAGACCGGTTAACTCTGCGCCTTAAAGATATTCAATTTTTGTTATCATTTCTATTATAAACTGACTATCTATAATAATAATACGCTAAGGCTCCGCGGGGGGCGCGACGTCTCCGCCGGCCTTTGTATTCTATTGTTTTTTAATGAGATCGCCGACCCAAGTTGGTGCGGCTATCTCCTCCTGAACCCTCCCCTCGGGGTCCCGGTGACCGGTGCCATCGTCTGCGGGAGAGTCTACTCTGTGGAATTGGCTATACTCCGCCCGAGGTCCTCCTCCGTGTCGACGTCCAGGGCGAAAACAGACGCGATATGCATAATGCAGGATATGCGTGACGACAGAGATACCTCATGGATATTCAACATGACATCCGTAGACACACGACCGATGACTATCCACTCACATTAAGTTGCGTATTAAATGCTCTATGCAAAGGGCGGGATTACCGAGAGTAAAGCATCTTTCTATAGGATGTGCTTTGTTGTAGCTAGGATGTGCTTTGCATGGATTTGCATGTAGTAGCTGCACAAGAGATACACGGGGCTTCCCGTCGACGTCCAAACTTAGAGACCTATTTCCATCATGATTGCCGCGATTTTTATATAGTTTTCGTGAATGGAGGTATGAAATCAAAGCTTATTTTGTGATTATTACGGCCATGTGTACTCAATTTTGATTATCATTTTCTAAAGGGAAAGTTTTGACAAGAAAACCATTGGACTGACAATTCAGTCGCAAGCTAACTTCAGTCACCACACATCACAGTGCAGTAACTCGAGGAATCTCCAACACCGGCACCGGGCACCGCAGGCGTCCGAGGCCTGCGGCGCCTGTGTTTGAGCTTCGTGGAGTTACGCTGGAGTGTTATGTGTGTGAGTAGAGCTGAGCTGAGCTCGAGTCGAAGAGATTTGACACTTTGAAATTGTTATCTGTTGGTTTGCATCATTATTGCCGCGATTTCAATATAGTTTCGTGAATAGATTTACGAAACCTGAGCTTAGAATTAGTAAAAGTATTACTAATGTCTACGTTTTTAAACGACTGTCTGATTTTCTTGTGAAAATTTTACTTTGAAAAATAATTATCGAAATTTATGGTCAGAAATAATCACAATCTAGGGTCTATTATGTTACAGTTCTTGCATCAAATCAATGCATGAAAACTTAGTTATTGAACTAGAAAAATGTTTTTTTTTTTAAATAGGCAATTATGAAGAAGGAAACCTGAAACCCTGAGTTGAGTGTATATTTGTTTCAAGGGGCCATAAACCCCCAAAAGCTCGGGGGTTACGTTCTTCAAAGTTGAGAGATCAGATCGCAGCGAGTTGAGTGTATATACAATATAGGCGTGGGGTCCACGGGTTTCAAGGGGCCATAAACCCCCAAAAGCTCGGGGGTTTTAGGCGTTTAATTAGGGTCAGATGAGCATATTTTTAATACTTTATTTGTGACACTTGCGGGTCACTAATTGGCGTGGGGTCAATACGTAGAGTTGCGTAGTGTTGCTACCAACTACGCTGGCCTACGTTACTATATGCTGAGGGACAGAAAGGGGTACGCAAGATGAACGAAAACAAGTCAACATGTTTAATTTTTTTCGCGTACTTTCAGCGTAGAAACTTGACGCAGAAAGTACGCCTTTTTACGCAACACTATGCTACCCTACGCCAGATCGTCAAAGCAGTAAAAGCTTTCCACACAGTAAGCAACCATATAAGCAAACCTGTACGCCAGCCTACGCATAACCTACGCAGGGACTATTTTCCCATTAATACGCAGCCTAATTTCTGCGTAGTCGGTACGCCACACTACGGAACTCTACGCAGTTCCAGTGGCTTAAAGAATAACTACCGGTACAGTTGGATCGTTTTTTTTAATTTTTTTTATATAAGGCCAAATTTAAAAAAAAACATGTTTAGCGTCCTGTTTTTTCTGAAAAATGGGAAGGAGGATCGAGGCCCTTTTTTTTTTTTTTTTTTTTTTTTCTTTCAAATGGCTGCTCCGTACATTTTCCCTGACATTCAGGCTATTTTTCAAGATGGCAGCCGACAATTTTTTTCTTTTCTTTTTTAAGATCAGAAATACATTTTAGCAGTGCTTTTCATGTTTTTTTTTCTTTAAAAAAAAAAAAAAAAAAAAAAAAATCAAAAAAAAAATTCAAAAAAAAAAAATAAAATAGGAGAGGCGGCCCCCAGAAAGGAAGCGGGTGGGGACGCTGTTTTTTTTTCTATAAAAATTTTTTAAAAAATAAAAAAAATTCAAAAAAATTTAAAAAAAAAAAAAAATAGGAGGCGGCCCCCAAAAAGGAAACGGGCGGGGAAGCTGTTTAAAAAAAAAAAAATATAGGAGGTGGCCCCCAAAAAGGAAGCGGGCGGGGACGCTAAACATGTATATTTTTTTAATGGCCTGAATGGCAAATAAAGTTCTTGGTGGTTTTAATTTAGACAGTCTCTATATATCTATTTACACCCCCCGCCCCCCTCTAGAATCCCGCGGATTTCCGCGGGTCCTGCTAGTTACCATAATAAACCGACTGTCATACCTTCGTAAATGAGCAAATTGTGTGGTGGATATGTGCGCTTACAGATATATAGAATATTGTTATTATTACTATCATAAACTGATTTATCATACCTATTTATTGCTCCTTTGAGTTGTTTCCTCAATCGATCCATCTTAGCTTGTTTCTCAGCGTCCACTGATTGTCCCATCATCTCGGCTCGTTTATGAGGAGGAATGTAGGATAACGTCTTCTCAGGTTTCTTCTCGCCGATCACATTACCGTAGGGATCCATTTTGATTGACATTGTCTTTCTCATATCATCTTCATCTGAATCAGCAATGTCTTCCTCCTCCTCCTCTTCCTCATCATCTTCCCCCTCATCATCATCATCATCACCACTATCAAAGTCATGAACATCTTCCTCCATTCCACTTCCATCTGAGTCCAACTCATCATCATCTTCATCTGAAAGTCTTGACTTTTTCCTAGATTTCAATTGCTGATCAGAAGATTTCCTCTTAGCAATCCTCTCTTTATTGTCCTCTTGTTGACCATCCTCCAGTGTATCGTCTTCTAAACCATCACCATCTTCCTCTAATCCATTGTTCTCGCTATCCTCCTCCTCCTCCTCCTGACTATCCTCTGTATTCTTTCCAAAGTCCATGAACTCGTCATCCATTGCTGCCTCTAAGAGTTTGGGATTCACAATATCCAGTAAGTCTGCAGTGGTAATGTTAAGGACATTAATCTACATTTGCTTCTCCATACCCAGGAGAGAAATAGTACAGTACTATGATTTAACAACGGGTGGAAAAAAGTAAATTGGGTTAATTAGTATAGAAGAAAGAGAAAAACTGGGAGAGGAAAGAGGGTGATAAAGAGAAAACAGATGGAAAGAGAGAAAGCCACTGAGAGAGAGAGAAAAACAGAAGACAAAAGGGCAAGTAGGGCAGACTTAATAGTTAGAATACATTATATACCTCATTTTAAGATTCTTTACTAATCCTGTCTTCTGATTGGTTGAAAATGCAGTCATGTTCTTAACCATGCCCGCTAATTGAAATTCATAGTCATTTTTCCCGGCTCTACCGGTTTATATCCATTTTTCATAGCACTTTTTCCATGGCTGTGAAACGTGACGTCATTTTGCTGCGATCCCCATTTTGGTTTACGTGTTACCGTATAAGTTTCTTTTGTGCGATGACCGATGCGCAATACCGTTAACGGTGTTTGAGTGCAATTCGATTTTGGTCGCTGCATTCAGGCGACGAATCTACCAATCCACGCAGCGCAGACGACCGATCGCCATTTTGTGTACTAGTATAAATGGGTGTTATTGTTGGTGTTATTGTTGGTGTTAATATTCATGACTTCAAAGAGATGGAAACCTAAATGGGTGAGTCAACATTTTCCTTTTTTTCGGTATATAAAATATATATTGACTGCTTTTAATATTCGAGGCATAGTGTGGTGACCAAGTGGAAACTTTACTTTTCACATAATTCTGCTTCAAATAGTATAAAGTCATTTTAAAAAGGTAGGTGTTGTTAAACATGACACTTGATTTAATATGAGTCTGATAGGGGAGGGGGCAAAAGATATGAATGACAGTGTATTTCTTTTAACCTTGGGTTATTAGGCCTAATATTCATGTAAATCAGTGGCAGAAGGAGGGATAATTTCTTCTGGATCTTAATCTGTCCTGTTCCTGGTCCTGCTCCTCTAATAGTGCAAATCATATGAGCTAATAAAAGAACCATTACCTATATCATGGCATTGATGTAAATAACCTGTAAAAGTTTAAAACACAATATTATGATTAACAGCAAAAGGGCTATCCGGTAAAGCTATGCCACCTCTTCATATACACTAACAATATCCATGCAATATGAAGAGAACAAAATGAAAGGATACAATCGAGGCCATCCTCCTTGAATGCTGTTGGAGTTATCTTCTCTTTTGTCTTCCTCTTCTTCCTGAAGTTAAGGCCTTTCTCCAAACGTCTGATGTTTTTTTCCTCTTCCTCGTTAGCTGCCAAGAGCTCACGCTTTCTCTGCTCTTCTTTCTCCTACATCAAGAGAAAAAAAGTAAGATCAATCTATTCTCATGGTTTGTTTTGTTTGTAATACATATCAGAACAATATTGACATCAAAACACATAGGATGTCCACAGACAGTCATTGATTGAAAGTACTTTTGTTGTGAACAGCTACCATTCATTTACACGTTTAAAAAAACATGATGGCTCATTTTGCAGAGATGTACTGCACCATATATCTGAACAAGCCATATTGCAGAGTGTACTCTGTTTCTTGTACTAGCGACCATTGCAGAGAAAAATAACATGTACATATACAACTGTAGAGTCAGATTTTAAATGTTGATAATATTTTGAAAAGAAATTGTGTTTAGTTTCATCCCACACACATTATTCTATGGTATCCATCTTCAGGCGAGTGTTTCACAAAGACTAAGATCGACTTTAAGTTGGAATTAACTATGGCAGGCCGTTCATGCCACTGGTTGCTCTCACTATTGGCCTCTCAATAGAAATCTTTAGCTAATATTTTTTCCTTCAATAATAAACTATTAAAAAAAGTTAATTCTGTAGATTTGTGACCATGGTTTACACTTCCCTTGAGAAACCAATGCCAGTAAATGGCGAGTGCAAACAGTAGCATGAACGGCCTGCCATAGCTAAGTCCAACTTAAAGTCAATCTTAGTCGTTGTGAAACAATCCCCTGATCTCATTTCACGTACCATCTTTATTTTCTCTTCTCTTTTCGCTTTCTTCTCAGCTGTTTTTGAATCCTTTGAAGTAACTTTCTTTGGTGACTTTGTTTTCTTGGTCGACTCCTTCTTCTCCCCACTGATGTCATTCAGGTTCTAGTAACAAAAAAATAGTAAGACCAAATTAAAAATAGGTACACAGGCCAATTTACCTTTCAGAGTTGGTAAATTCAGAATCTTTTAGAAAGGGTAATTTTATTCTTTCAGAATTGGTAACTGAGACTTTCTTTATGATTAAAAGCTAAAACTTTCTTCTACTTCTAGATTTGGTAAACTCTGAACATTGCGATCTTTTATTATATTAAGCCTATGTAGCACTAGGCTGAAGACATGTGACATGCACATGATAGATGTGAATTACAAGGATACATAACCATTGACATTCAGAAAGCCTATACGATTTCATTTCCACAAAGACTCAGTTTATTCTCACACTTCCATACATGGTATAAAACGGGAGCACACTATACATTCTCATTAGAAAAGAATTCTTTTTTTTTTCAGGTGGGCTGTATCTAATACAGACCACCTTATATTTTTGTTAAAATTGCCTTTATTATTTATTTATTTTTCTTATTTTGACCCACTTTTTTGTTAGCAAGATAACTTTGAAATGGTTCGATCAAATGCTTTGATATTTGGCACACATATGTATAGGCATATGGACAAGACACGGTAAGGTTTTCAACCTTGACCTTGACTGATGACGTCATCTAGGTGCCATTTTGTGAAATTTTCTGAAAATCATCTCATGATCATATCTTCATAACCAAAATTCATTTCTCATTCATATTTATCATGATCAAGGTCAATATCAGTCCGGTTAATTTCAGGTAAAAAAACACGCGCGTGCGCAAACATCCGCGCGTCAGTGCGCGCGCAAAATTTGAAAATGCTCAGAATCGTCTCAAATTTTTTTTGCATATGTTTTAGGTCATTTTAAGCATTTTATAAAAAATCGCGCGGGCATGCGCGCGCGTTTTCGCGCGTAACACCCATTACACAACATATAATCGCCATTTTTTTTTCTTTCATGATATTTCTCATATTTTTTCGAGGAATTTGATACCATGTTTATCTCTTTATGACCATTAATAACAAGATGAGCGTCAATTCAAGATAAATGTCCGTGCGCGCGAGCTCTTTTATTACATAGCATATATGGGCAAAAACATGCCTATGCAAAATCCATTATAGCTCTTTGGAATGAACCGTGACCTTCAATGTTTTTTTATATTTAGATAGAGTATGAGTCGGAAATATGATTCCATGTCTCATTTGGCCATTAAGTGTATCGTGACATCATCATAAAGGCCTTGGAACTCAAAATACGAATTTGCATATAATGACGTCAGCATATTTATGTAACATTGATTGTATCTCTGTAAATATTGATCGATTTTCTTCCAAATTTCGATATGATGTAGCTAAGACAATTCTCTACAAGCTCAGTTACACCATTTTTCATTTTGATCACTTCATCATAGTGAAAATTACGATTAAAGGGCACATATCAGAAATTTCACACGTTGCGTGTTATGCCTATGGAAGGTGAATTTCGTTAACATCATTACATCAATGACATTGTTTTTTTAGCAGTATCTCGGTTATTTTTGCTCTATTTTAATTGTCTCAAATTTTAGTTGACCAGCCCACCTATACTTGTTCTAAACAAGTATTATGTCTAGTTTTTTTTTCTTTCTGTTTTTATTGTTTTTTCTGAAAAATTAACAGAGTAAAAGCAGCAATATAAAATATAATATCATCTTAAAACTACAAAACAGGCACACACTCATGCACCCATTAACACGCACACACACGCACACACACACACACACACACACACACACACACTCACACTCATATACTTTCCCAGAGGGCAAGTTTACAATTCAAAAAGCCAATGAAGATGTTAATGACAACAAAGCTTTGCAAGACTACTCCTAAATTTCAGTTAAACTTGATAGACCATTTCTTAAAATGGACTTGTAACTTATTTTTCTTTTGGGCAATTTTATATTCTATTTTTTGTTTGAACTTTACCATTGAAACAAATGCTTCGAAAATAAGTTCTAGAAAAGAATACTTTTTTATTTTCATTGATGACCCAGTGAAAAGAACATTCTACATTTCTGTGATGTAAAACCTGTAGACCTGTAGAATCAATGATTTTACTGTACAAAGTTTACAAACACCCATCAATCTTACTTTTCCCGACAAAAAAGCATGTTTTTTAGCCTTCTTCATTATTCTCATTTCTTTCCTCCTCTGTTTTCTCGGCTTCGCTCCTTTCTGTTTTTTAAAGCTCCTCCCATCTGACGGCAAGACCCCTTCATTGTCTTGATGATCATCCTCAGCAAACTGGACCATCTTCTTCATTGCTTTGCGGGCTCTCCTCAAGTTCTGCTGCATCGGCCGCCGACGTGAACCATTCTGGCTCCTCCCAGAATTCATCTTGCTAAAAGGAATAAACACAATTGAATGATTATGTAGAGGCCTCTAAAAAATAAAGGACTGATTATGCAGCCTACCCTACTCTTCTTCTTCTTAGACTTAGTTGATCCCTCCACTGTTTTGGAGATTCCTGGAGTCCAAATAAAGTAAATGTGTATAATCCGACCGGTTAGGAGCTTTGGACTAGTCTAGTCCTAGTGTCAATGGAACAAAATGTAACTGTCAGTAACACCGACACTGCACTGCACTGGCCACTGCACTGGCGCCGACCCTGGCCTTGCACATGCATTGCCTTGTTAGCTCTATCGCGTCCACGAGGACGGCTCCGCCCGGTGCGCGCCGGGACTGCGACGGCAGCGTTCGCATCGACTACCTAGTACTGCGACGCATGTTTTCATTTTTACAGGAATTTTTAGATTAAGACCGGTTTTACCGACCGTAACTTTTCAATTACTGGCATTCCATATTTACAATGAAAGAACTGTTTGTAATTTGTATTGTTAATTTGACTTACATTTACTTGTGTTTTCCACGTGCGATCCAAAATGATTTTCCCTGCGTATGATTGCGCAATGATGTTTGCTGAATTCGCAGCAATATAATTTATATGCGTGCAGAATTTGCAATGCAATAACTAGCGCAAGATCAAGAAGGATCGAGATCGAGAGCACACTCGCTGTCACATTTCAGCAATTCTGAGTGCAATGGGCAAGCGGGATCGTAAAGACGTTGGTAAATGTTTTCAATTACATTTGCAAGAGTGATATTATGTTGTGTAATAATTACCAAATTCTATAGATTGTTGAAAAATTACTTTGTGCATGGGACAAATAAACATTCACTGATCTCAGCTCAGTCCCACATGATTTATTTCATGTTGGGTTCCTTTCGTCTTTTTCTTCTTCGTCCTCGATCGATCCTTTTCCATGACCATGTCTTCCTCCTTCCCCTTCCTTTGTCTTTGTCTTTCTCTTTCTCCTTCTCACTATTCTTCTCCTCCTCCTCTTTCTTACGAACCTTTTCCTTCTCATTGTATAGATCCCTTGTTTTTTTGTAATTGGGCATTCATTCATTTAAATTAAGAATGATTACGCCTTAAAAGGATTGTTAAATAATAACAATGTTAAATCTAAGATGCACGACCCTACAGGTTATCAGTGTCTGTTATATGGTGTAATATTGAAGCCCTAAAAAAACGCACTTCAAAATGATCAAGAAGTGCCTCAAAAAAGTAATAATCTTTGAGTGACCGGCTTTTACCGTACTCGTTTTTCCCAAAAGACTGTAGTTTTATGAAAACCGTTTGGCAAACGTTTTTCAAAATTTGTAATTCCAATCATAAATATCTTGATAATCAGACAGGCGATCGGCTTGTAAAAGTCATGGGGTTCCTGAATAGTCTAAAGGTTTATAATCATCATTGCAGCATGAGCTTAATCCAGGATTTCGTTTCAGAATCTGAGACAAACTTACCGGATCCCTTTAATTTTAAATTAAACTTTTTAATAATTTTGTATCATAAAACTTTGGTTTATGCTCGTTGCAATTAAAAAAAAAACAGTTATAGATCTAGGCTGTTATACTTGCAAAGGCCAAACTGTGTGAGGATGCAGAAATTGAATAATATAGTTTTAATGAATGTTGATACTTAACTTGCTAAATTCTCTGGTACATTCTGTGGTAACTCATGTCAACATACTCTGTTCTAACTTCTTTAGTTTTGTGCAATTTTTTTCCTTCAGAATCCAAGAAATCCAAGAAGTATAGAACAGAGTCTCCTGAATTAGAAAATGATGACACACAAGGACCTGATGGTAAGTATTACGTATTTCTCTATCACTATATCAGTCCAAATATCAAACTATTAGGCCAAATAACAAAAATAATGTGTTTCTCTTCTGGACTTTAAAAAAAAGGAGGAGGCAGGGCATTACTATTAAGCTATTTTTTTCCAAGATGGCTGCCATGCTAATTATAGCTGGCCAAGCCTATTTATCCACATATATTGTGCTATGTTTGAAAACATCTTTACTCCAAAATATCAACTTATACAGTATCCTATCTTATTCAATCCTTTTATATTTCTCTTTTTTCATCCCTGTCTTGCTCAATCTGTCCATATTTATCTCTCATTTCCTTCTTCTTGATATATCTATGGGCGTGTTTATGCTCGACTTTTTTGGCCAGAATCAGGCATCTGTTAGGCGTTTAGTTTAAAACACGGTTGCGTCCTTTCTCGATTTTGTAGAATCACAGAAAAACCGCGATCCCGATCGCCGATCGTAAACTCACAAAAACGTGCGTTTACAATTTGCAAACACATTTAAATGGGGTCAACGCACTGACCTCTAGTGGTCTTACGTAGCACGCACAGTGTAGGTTTGCGAATCCAGCTGCAAGACCAATGAGGCCACCCAGCAAGAATTGCCTGGAGGAGCCATAGAAGTGAGCATAAACAGTACACCGTGGAACTGCGATTACGATGAGCGTTTACGATGAGCGTTTCATATCGCTCATTCTGCCTTCAAAATTGAGCTTAAACGCACCCTATCTCATTCAATGCATATGTATATTTTTCCTTGTCCTTCCATCTTTCTCTATCAATCCGTTTATCTGTCTTTCGCTGTATTTATCTTATTCCATCCCTGTCTCGCTCCATCTGTCTATATTTCTCTCTCATTTCCTTCTTCTTGATCTATATATCTCTCGTTCAATGTATATGATGTATATTAATCTTTGTCCTACCATCCTTCTCTATCAATCCATCCATCTGTCTCTCACTGTACTTGAGGCGCGATGGCTCAGTGTTAGAGCAGTGGTCTCGTAACCGGGAGGTCCCTGGTTTGAAACCAAGTTGATGCACTTGTGCCCTTTGGTAAGGCATTGTTCCCCATTTTAAAGTCCCTCAGAGAGAATTTAAAGCTGTCAATAAATTGATAAAGCTGTCTGTCCCCTGGTTGCTCACTTACAAGCATACACATGCTTTCTTAGCAGTCGGGTAAGACAAACAAATCAACTAACTAACTAACCTTCATATTTTTTATCACATCCCTCTAGGTACATACATTCCTAAGAATGCCAGTCGCCAGGTAGAGGACCAGGATGCTGGAGACGAGGATGAGTTCGGTGCTAAAGATTATCGTGGTCAGATGGAACTCAAGAAGGACCATGGTTCCAGACCTTTGTGGTTGGTAAGTATAAAGCTTGGATGCCATGTTTCTGCAAAGCTCCCAAGTTTGTGTACCTAACCTTGCGATTGAGAATAAAGGAGACATGCAACAAACAGATTTCGATTCCTCACTATTGTAATACATGTTTGATGCAAACATATATGCAGACGTAGGACTTGGTTGCTTAGCAATGTCAAAATGACACTCCATGGTTATCGTGTAAAATGGACAATGCCTTGATTTGATTGTAATGATATTTTGGCATGCTCACTCTTTATTATATCATGGAATGTTAGTAATTAATCACATTTTTGGGATTAATAAACAAACAAAAGTGAAATTTCACTGCAGTTCAAAAATCAGCATTGAATCTAACAAATAGACCAGTTCACAGTTAGCACATGTCCCAAATGACCCCGAATATCCACAGATCTTCAAAACATGAAGAGGTCCCACTTTATACATTTGAAATAATCACTCCTACAGCGATAGAGGTGCTACCTAAATAGCCTTTGTTTCCCCTTTTAAAAGAATGCTTCCACCTGTATATCATGGAGTGCACTGCTTGTGCATAAATTAATACCGGTAATGATTAAAACTTTTATGAGCAGACTAATGAGCACGTATGGAGTATTTTATCTCCATGTATTTCACAATTTGGTCTGCAATGACATTTATCTGCTCATGTTCAGACTGCAACTATGGACTGGCTCATTAACCGGTGTGTTGGCTCAGTCAGTAGAGCGTCCGCCTCACAACCGGGAGGTCGTGAGTTCAAACCCCGGCCGCGTCATACCAAAAGACGTTAAAAGACGGGAGTTGCTGTACCTTGTTTGGCGTTCAACAATAAGAGGATAGAGCAACGTCGATCTGGCGCTGCTTAGTGGCTGCCGGGCTCATGATCAATTGGGCAAAAAGAATTTTCATTTTCGGTTTAATGAAATTTGGAGTGGACTTTTAATGATTATTATTATTATTATTATTGGTGTGAGTGTGAACAGCACTCTGCATTTTTTGTTTAATACATCTCTGCTTTTGAACATTTTTGTGATCATTGACAGGCACCTGATGGACATATCTTTCTAGAATCCTTCTCACCAGTCTACAAACATGCTCATGACTTCCTTATAGCGATATCGGAACCAGTTTGCAGACCAGAAAACATCCATGAGTACAAGTAAGTCTAATTTCTATCTCATAACTAGTTTGTAGACCAAAAAACATACATGAGTACAAGTAAGTCTAGTTTCTATCTCGGAACCAGTATGTAGACCAGAAAACATCCATGAGTACAAGTACAAGTAAGTCTAATTTCTATCTCAGAACTAGTATGTAATAGACCAGAAAAAATGTGCATGTTGTGCAAAGTGAAATTTTAACTGTCCTTGGAAGTACTTGGAAGTGTTTGAATTAATCACTCTGATGAAATAAAAGCAGTTCATTTGTAATACCTTGTTTTGTTTTGTTTACAGACTGACTGCGTACTCCTTGTATGCTGCAGTGTCTGTAGGTCTACAGACCAGTGACATCATAGAATACTTGAGAAGACTAAGCAAGACTACTATCCCTAACGGCATTGTAGAATTCATCAAGGTACGTGTAATTGGTAACCACTGGATAAGGGCTTACTTTGGGTCATCGGGGTTACATGACTTTTTGTGAAATGAAAACGCAAGATCATGTGAAGATGCACGTTCAGGATGCGACCTTTTGTAAATTTGCAGTAGGGTTTTCACAAAGATTCAGGTACATTAGACCAGACCATTTGTAGATGAGAGGGATTTATTTCACAAACATTACCCCTGACATTTCATGAAAAAGGGGGCCCATTTTCACAAAAGGTTGTGTAACACGGCCACCCAACCCGACGCGATGACCTGTTGATTTGAAGTAAGCCCTAGATATTAAAGCAATTGCTAACCTTTTACCATGCATTCCACTTAGGTGATAATTGCTCCATTTAATTACTAATTGTGACCATTGATATAAAAAAAAATACCAGACCTTAGCCCTAAACTGTTAAACGTACCACCTAATTACAACCTGAACCTTAAATGTTGCTCTTTGATGAAATAAGCAAATATATTGCTTTTATGAAGCTAATGTCAGATCACTAACAATCTCTCTGCACCTACTTTAGGAAATCCTGCCACAGAATTTAGCAAGGTAATTGTTTGCACTTTTCACTACATACACATGTACATGGCTTTTGCTTTCATTTATGTTTCCATGATGTACTTCAGTTCATTTCAAAGCCCAGTTTCTTCATTTCATCTTTTTTGTATAAATGACACAAAAATCTGAATTATATTCAGCTATTGAATCAAGAAAAAAAAAATATACATTTTGAATGGTCGGTTATTGATTCTGTATTGTAACTGTATTTGATTATCTGATTCTTTTATATACTCATTTCTAGCTTTGTACTCTGAGCTATGGCAAAGTGAAGCTGGTCCTGAAGCACAACAGATACTTTGTAGAGAGTCCATTTCCTGTAAGTAGAATTATTGCCATGTTTCTTTTGACCTTAGTTGAATGTTGGAAAGACTTGGAATACAAAACCTGTTTATATTGGTCTTAGTTGATTTTTAAAAATGTGGAAAATAGGTAAAATTGCCTGAATTGAAACCTTGGAAAACTACATACAGAGTGAGGGAGGGATTTTTTCGGCCACTTAAAACAAAATCCAATTTGTGGTCTCTTTGCTCCACATTTCTTTTGATGTTTTATTGAAATGATGTAAGTACATTTTGTTACTTTTCCACTTGTACTAAGTCAATAGGGAGTTAGCACATTTGCTGTGCGTGTGTGCGCTCTGATAAAATAAAAACAGCCGCTTGAGCCATCATTAAATTTTGGTATAGTATACTAAGCATATTTATCTTTACCTTAGTTGAATGTTGGAGTCATAAAGCTATGTCTATTGTCATTTAATACATATTGGAATACTACACATATTTAGATAGGCTTCAGTTGAATATTGGAATACTGATGTGTTTATATAAGTCTCAAATGAATATTGAAATACTAATGTTTTTATACATGCCTCAGTTGAATACGGTACATGAATACTAAACATATTTAGATTGGCCTTAGTTGAGTAATGGGATACCTAAACTGTTCAAATTGGCCTTTGTGGAATATTGCAGTTTTACACAAGAGGCTCATTATTTGAGATGATTTGTTTTTTGTCTGTTATAATAGGATGTATTACAGAAGCTTTTGAAGGATTCAGTTGTACAGCAGTGTCGTCTGAGATCAGATGTTGACGAAGAAGCAAATGAAGATGGCTTTCTTGTATCACAGAGGGCAGCAGGCGGCTCTTCTGTACTCAAGGTAAGATACAAATATCAGCAAAAAATCTAGTCTTATTTCAGTTACGTTGTTGTTGTTGTTTTAGTTTATAGGCGTTTGTCATTCAGAAGTGAATATTTACGCCTCTTCTCTTAGGATTTTTATTCCTTTAAAATTAGATTTACTTTTTTTGATATATAGATTTGGATAGATTGGATTTTTAAAAGCTAAACTTTTGTTTAATGTTGAAGAATTCAGTGGCTGGCGAGCAAAAGGCTTATTGGCTATATAGGACGCCCAAAGACCAGCTCGGACACGGTACATTGTGTCAAGCTTCTCAACTCAGCCTAATGCTGAGCCTAGGCCCTCCGACGTCCACCAATAGGCTAGTCGTCTCCACCGCGTTTCTTCAAAATTTTGTCCGAAAACCAATTAAAAACAGATTATATACATGAAGATTCTAAACGTTAATATGGGCAGTTCTCTTTTCTAATTTTTTTTTTTTCTTTTTTTTTTCTTTCTCACTCTTCTTCTTCATGTATTACTCACTATAAAAAGGGAAACATATTGGGCTCAAATAATAATGTGCGGTGCAAGGTGGTTAATAGGGGTAAAGGTGTACCCTTTTAGTTCTCATTACGAAGTTGACCAGAGCCTGTTGGTGATTCATGTCTGTTGATTTCAGGAGTATTGGGATTACTTTTTCGTCCTCTATGCCAGATTCTGTTATAAGCATGGCTCTTTCTATAAGAAAGAGTGGGCATTTGCATAAAAAATGTTTAACGGTTTCTTTTTCGTGCTCGCAGTTTGAGCAATGACCGGTCTCATGTTGATTCAACTCAAATAGATTTTCATTTAAACCTAAGTTCCCCATTCTTAGGCGATGAAGAATAGTTTCATGATATCTGTTGTTCAAGTAACATACAAATATTTTTGATACTAGAGTTTGCGTTTCCCGTAGGGGGGATGATGTTTCATTCCATCTTTTTTGCCATATCTCTATGTAGTATTTCTTTATAACGTAATTTGATTCTGCTCTGGTAAGAGCGTTGTTGATTTCTATATTTTTATTTAGTCCTGCTTTAGCAAACTTATCTGTTATCTCATTGTGTTGTAGACCACAGTGACTGGGAATCTATTCGAAATTGACCTGGGTGCCCTTGTATTTTAGTTGACTACACATGGTTAAAATTTCAAGATAGAAAGATTCGTCTTTACGAGATTCTATGGCCTGGAGTGAACTCAAAGAATCAGAAAAGATGACTGCCCCGGTGTAGAGTCCTGGGAGTTGTAATAACCATGTTAGGGCAAGTACAATTGCGGCCATCTCTGCTCTATAAGAAGATGTGTAATTAGCCAGTCTCTTAGATTGAGAAACATCATAATAAGGTACATAAAATGCAGCAGTAGCAGAGTCTTTATCTGGCGATCTTGATCCGTCTCTATATATGTGTAAATAATTTTTCCTTATTTTTACTTATTTCTTATTTCTAGTCTTACTTCAAGGGGTTCCTGATAAAAAGAATACCCAGATTTTGATGGATAAATTACTTGATAATACAAAGTTACTTTTTTCGGGTTAATGCGTTAATAAGTGAAAAGCATATATTCTCTTCTTTCGTATGACACCAAACATATGATCAATAAGTCACACATAAATGATTGCAGACAGTCTGAACTGGCATTGTCAGAACCAGGGCCCCATCTTTAAAGGTAAAGACCAGTTATGGTCATGCAAATGCATTGTGAGAGAAACGTTGTGGAATCGATCAGAAAAGGTTGATCATCTAGCATCTAGCATCTGCAAGGTTCTGGAATCATCAAAATGATAAGAAATTCGGCCCATTCTTCGTAAAGTTACAAGCACTATACACAGAAAGATGTATATGGGACTACCCTATATCTCTCACAGACCATGAGAGAAACAAATTTACCAAATATATGAATTAGTAGGCGGTTTCCCGGCAAATTTTTTATCATCATGTATTAGTCAAAACATATTCTTTCACATGATTGGTAATGAGAGCTTCCATTTCATTTTTTGAAATTGGGGCGTTTCCAATACTGGTCTTTACCTTTAATACAAAGAGTTGATATCAATCGCAACTATGTACATAAGAGATAGGAGACTGCAAACTTGTGATTGATTGGAGGACTTACGATTGATTTGGATCAATCGCAACTCTTTGTAATACGGGTCCCTGTTGTACAAAACGTGGATGGCTACTATATCCTACAATATTGCACAAAACTTAAAAACTAGGTAAGGAAGGCAGAAGAGAAAATGGAGAGATGACCTAACATCATACATGGGAATGGCCGCTTGGACTAGGATAGCTAGAGACAGAAGAGAATGGAAATGCTATGAGGAGGGCTTTGTCCAACGTCTGGATGAACTATAGCCTGATAGATAGATAGATAGAAGGTAGGTATTACTTCAGCAAATAATGATGAGCGTGTCTTTAAACAGGGATGATCATTGATCAAAGAATAAAAGAAAGCTTGGCTTAAATGATTCTTGTATTATTTCTTTGTCAGCTGAATGCACCAAACTCCAAAGGAAAACCCAACGAAGCATCTGATTCTAAGGATGCAGAAGGAGGAGATGGAGGAGGAGGAGAAACAGAGAAGATACCAACGGATATCTTTGATTTCTACGATAAAATAGACAAGGAAGATGAAGACGGAGACGATCTTACTGCCGTCTCTTTTGAAGTCGTTCAAGATGAAATTGAAAACTTGCAAAAGAGGTTAGTAATCTATTAAAGTATGTTACGGTAGAAACCAAAATGAGTGCAACGATACTACCGGGAAGCTCCTGAAAAATCACCCCAATTTCAGTCCTTAACATCTGAAATTATTGAAGTTATGTGTGATTTGAACTTTCCTCTTAACGTTTGAAATAACCAACAATCGTCCAACTGTGAGATCATTTCTGTACAGCCGTCACCTCTTCAACATTTTTTCTGACGAAGTTACATATTCTTGCTTGGTTTTTCTATTGTGGTAGTTACACTGAAATTGTCTGGTTAATTTGTTTTTTGGAAAATAGCGTATAATGCCAGGGAATGGGCAGTTTCTATCTACCGGTATGTGTATTATCAGGATAATTACACTGCTTTGATTTAGCCGGTTAAAACGCCCTAAATAAAAGTTCATTAAACTTTGGCTAAGGTCACCGCAAAGTATTGTGGGACTGCTAGGTCAACCCGAGATTTTAGTGTCGGGGTCAAATATTCTGATCACGTGATCACTCTGATTTTCGATTCTCCCCGTTATGTGCACTCTATCGGAACGGCGTGAGTTTCTACTTAGGTTATCCGGTTAGCTACTCCTAAATTATCCTTCTTAAGGAAGGATAATTTTGCCTGTGAACGCATCACAGCTCTCACCAGCATTATCCGGATAATGGCGGAGGAAGTCAGTTTCTATTAGGCGAAATTAATCCCTTATCGGCTATTAACCGGATGATGGCTTCTAATTGAAACACACTGATTCTTTCTATTTCTCTGATTCTCAACTCTCTTTCTCTCACTAGATGTATTGAGTTAGAGTACCCTCTGTTAGCCGAGTACGACTTCAGGAATGACACCAGGAATCCGGATCTGAGGTATGACTGATAATCTTTTTAAAACTTTGTTTCCAGGCAAAGAAAACCTACATGGAATTAGAAATACGCAAATTATAATAATATGGATATTTACATAGCACCCGTATCCGCCAGGCTTTGACGTTCATGGCGCTTTACACATATTACCCTGGTTACCCTGGCCGGGGTTGAAACCCACGACCTCCCGGTTGTGTCAGTAGAGCGTCCGCCTCACAACCAGGAGGTCGTGGGTTTGAACCCCGGCTGCGTCATACCAAAAGACGTTAAAAGACGGGAGTTACTGCTACCTTGTTTGGCGTTCAACATTAAAGGGATAGAGCAACGTCGATCTGGCGCTGCTCAGTGGCTGCCGGGCTCACGATCAATTGGGCAAAAAAGAATTTCCATTTTCGGTTTAACTTAATAAAATTTGGAGGGGAAAAAAGATAATTATTATTATTATTATAGCCGAGCTGCCAAAGTAACTAACTTGCAAGCACATCAGGTACCCATTTACACCTGGGATGAGAGTGACTAATGTAAATTTACATCTTGCCACAGGACATTAGTGCTTGAACCCTGTAGGAAAAGATGGAAAATATGATGGAAAACATCAAACAAAAGGTTCCTAACATTACCAATAAACTGGTACGTCATGGTGCAGAGAGAAAAGTTAGAAGGTTTAACAAAAGAATTGGAAAGTGGAGCAAAAACGAAGCTCTAAAAAGTGAGACGAGAGACATGGAAAGACAAGACCATGAAGGATAAAAGCTGGGCAGATGATACTTGTCACCACTTTGCAATCCTTGGGAAAAGAAGCTTTATAATTCTGATCATTAATATCGTTATTGTTGTCATTTCAGAATAGGAGAAGAAAAGAAAGATCTAATTTTCTTGTATTTTTTTTTCTTGTGTGACAGCATTGATTTGAAGCCAACTGCCGTCCTACGCCCGTACCAAGAGAAGAGCTTAAGGAAGATGTTTGGTAATGGCAGAGCTAGGTCAGGGGTCATCGTACTTCCATGTGGTAAGCTTTGTACCACTCGGTCCGAGGTCATTGTACTTTTATGCAATAAGATTAAGGATTATTATCTTGTCACTTCTATCCTAATCAAATGATTGGTCAAATGCAATCACATGAAATCCATTTACTGTGCTAACTTAAAGCATGCAGTAGTTTCCAGTTCTATTTTTATGCCTCTGTTACGAAGTAGCCGGAGGCATTATGTTTTCGGGCTGTCCGTCCGTACGTCCCGTTTTCGTGATTGCTTTATCTCAACCGATTGATGGATTCCTGCCAAACTTGGGTCATGTAACTATGTATCTAGCAGAGATGGTGAACTGAACAGATTTTGGGGTAACAAGGGCGAAGGTCATTATGTATGCAAAAATAGCTTGTGAACCCATTCTCATTAGAACTGACAGATGGATTACTATCAAACTCAGGACATGTATGTAGCCTGCAGAGCCAATGAAGTCAGTAGATTGAGGGGTCATGAGGTCAAAGGTCATGGAGCTCTAGATATTTTTAAAACGCAGCAGTTTTGCCGTGTCATATCTGAACAAGGCTTAAATTTTGTGCACTAATGAAAGATGTTGTGTTTGGACAGGTGCTGGCAAGACGTTGGTCGGAGTGACTGCCTCCTGTACGGTGAGGAAGCGTTGTATGGTGCTCTGTACGTCAGGAGTAGCAGTAGAGCAGTGGAGATCTCAGTTCAGAATGTGGTCTACCGTAGATGATTCCATGATCTGCAGGTTTACATCAGATGCTAAGGATAAACCCATGGGTGAGCTTTTATTCTTTATTTTGAAGGGAGTGTAGCTTGACGAGACTGTGTGTCTTTCCCGTAGCCTGACTCGGGGGCCATTCGGGTATAATACCACTGCAGACGATCTGACCGCAGCATGAAACCGAAGTGTGAGGAGAACTATGGTCTCTTTTGCGAACGCTAGCGCGCTGACCATTTAGATATTAATGCAAGGGTCACTCTGTGGCCTGGACCCACCCTCCTCAGAGGTCGCCAAATATCGACGTCGACTCGACGCCTAAGCCTGACCCTGACCTATTTGTTGTTGTAGTGAAGTCCTAACGTTCGTTTTTCTTCATTGGGTAAAGCTTTACTATACAAATTGATGAAATGTGTGAAGCTTTGACGAGTAATTTGTTTTTTCTGGTGATGTGACATCGAATCCAATCGGTCGCCTTGTTTGTTCAGGTGATGTGACATCGAAGCCACTACCGGTCGCGTCGAAAATATGTCGAAATCATGTCGAAATCGTGCGTTTCAAAACAACTATTTAATTTTTATTCCGGTCACTCATGCACTCGCAGAGTGATCGTCCTGAGGTCACCGAACTTTTCTCCAGCGAAACTGATTTCGAGATTTCACGAGATCGTTTTCGAGTAGTCTACTAGTCTCCTACACATAACTAGTTGCGTGAGTATTCGCAGTATACGTGCCTGAAAGGCCAGCCTCAAGTCTGGAAACGAGACTAGTAGCCTACGAGCTGTCGGTATTGTACCCAGCATGCGCAGCGCAGATCGTGCCAAGTTTTGGCCCCAAGTTTTTGCGAGGTGAGTTGAAAAAAAATAGAAAGTTCAGAGTTTTCCGATCATTTTGAGACGGTACTACTCCGACCCTGTTTTACGATTGATTATTAACGAAATCTGTGCATAAAACTTAGCCTATATTTTCGCGAGATTTCAATGTTGACGTATTCCACAAAGGTATTACGCCACAGCAGTGCCGTGCGCTCGAAATATGTAATGGCCAATATGGTGAAACAGTGGTGAAGCTTGAACTATGCAAATGGCTAGTATGGTGAAACAGTGGTGAAGCTTCAGACCGGCCGAAAACTTACAAAAGTGAAGCCTCACCTATGGAAAACTGACACAAGTGAAGCCTCACCTATGTAAAACTGACAAAAGTGAAGCATCACCTATGCAAATAATTCAAAGGGTGAAGCCTGCACTAACACATTTGCTGATAAGAGTGATGCTTTGCCTTTGTTTTTTGTAAAGCACATGAAGTGATGGTGAAACCCTGAGGTTACAAATAATTGGCTCAGGTGAAGAAAGGTGATGACCTGAGGAGGGTGGGTCCAGGCCACAGAGTGACCCTTGCATAAGTCACTTACTACCGTTAATCAAGTTCATTCGTTTACTTGCAGTTGTCCAAAAGAAGGCGTAGATGGCATTAACCAGTATTTGCCAAGCTACACCCCCTTTAAGATATCGTAACTCTAGGAAATTGTTGTATAAAAGCTGATATTTTCCTTATGTTGATCCGTGTACGTGCATATAAATTTTTGCCATTCCTGGTTACTATAATTTTGACAATTGCACACAATTATCTTTGTTACAGTATGAGTTTGACTGTTGATTTTAGTTGATTTGTACACAAATTGAGAACCTTTTTGTTTTGGTTATAATCAGTAAAATTTGAATTGAAATATATTCATAAAACTGTATGATACATGCCGCAACATGAAATATACTCTTATTGTGTTTTGTCATCTCAGTATTATAAACATTTGCTTGAATCAAGAGATAATCCATTGACTGTGTAGTCCAGGATGATTGAAAAGTGGTTTGCTAGGCAAAGTGTTAGGGATGTGTCTCTGATAACAATAATTAAATGTTTTTGTATAGCACATAACACATTGGCATAATTGCATTTCTCTATGCGCTTTACAGAACAGAATACAGAGAGAGTGCACTGGGATTCATAATTGTGAGATCTTACAAAGTGCTATTGAAATAGATATATTTTCAATTTACTTTTGAACTTATTGTATGTTTCTATATTTTAAGGGTATTCAAGCAAATTTTCCATTAAACAGTGGCTGCATATGAAAATGACCCTTCCCCATAGGATTTTGTCAAAGTTTGGGGACATCAAATTTTTTTTTTTTACTGGGACGCAGCATTCTTTCTGGTTCACACTGTATCGACAATTCAATGAGACACAATGGGACATGGGTATATTTGTCTGTTTGTTTGTTTGTTTGTATAGGCTGCAGTATCTGTATCAGTACATACTCCATGGTCGCACATTCGACCAAGCGCTCATGGGAAGCAGATCAAGTTATGCAGTGGCTTCAATCTCAGGAGTGGGGACTCATGATCTTAGACGGTAAGTCTACATTTATCAGTATTATTCATATTCTTTTTAAAGGGAATTCCACCCTGATATCAGCTAAGTTGGTTTTAATAGAAGCAAGAAATGAGAGGAATAGGTCAGTGAAAGTTTAAGAAAATTCTGATTTGAAAAAAAAAAATTATGAATTTGTTAAAGGTAAAGACCAGTTATGGTCGTGCGATTGCATTGTGAAAGAAACGTTGTGGAATCGATCTGAAAAGGTTGATCATCTAGCATCTAGCATCTGCAAGGTTCTGGAATCATCAAAATGATAAGAAATTTGGCCCATTCTTCGTAAAGTTACAAGCACTATACACAGAAAGATATATATGGGACTACCTTATATCTCTCACAGACCATGAGAGAAACAAATTTACCAAATATATGAATTAGTAGGGGGTTTCCCGGCAAATTTTTTATCATCATGTATTGGTCAAAACATATTCTTTCACATGATTGGTAATGAGAGCTTCCATTTCATTTTTTGAAATTGGGGCCTTTCCAATACTGGTCTTTACCTTTAAAGGTGCAATCAATCAATTTGTTCTTTAATGGCTGTCAGACCAAATTTGCATATCATGCAAAACATTTTAACTAACACAGAAGGTTTCTAAACTTTTTTCATTCATTTATTACAACAGAGGTGCATACGATCCCAGCCAAGCAGTTCCGGCGGGTCCTGACCCAGGTCCAGGCCCACTGCAAGCTAGGACTAACGGCTACTCTGGTCCGAGAGGATGACAAGATTGCAGACCTGAACTTCTTAATCGGTCCCAAGCTCTACGAGGCTAACTGGATGGAGCTACAGAACAAAGGTTTCATTGCCAGAGTACAGTGTGCGGAGGTCTGGTGCCCCATGGCTCCAGAGTTCTTCAGAGAGTACCTGGCCATCAGGACTAGGAGAAGATTGGTCAGTCATAACTAGTTTGATTTATTATTTCTTTACTGCAACCAAACCTTAAAGGTTGGATTTCAAATAAAAATAATAATGCAATAAGATACATAACAATGGTAGATGTTATATTTTGAAGAAAAGTAAATCGGGACAATCAATTTTTCACATACTTAATAAATTTCGAAACCTGGTAAGGGTGTGAATGAATAAGTTGTTTACCGTATATCAATATTTTCTTTTCTATTTAGTTGTTGTATGTGATGAATCCAAACAAGTTCCGAGCATGCCAGTTCCTGGTGAGATTTCACGAGCAGCGGAACGATAAAGTGATCGTCTTCTCAGATAACGTGTTCGCTCTCAAGCACTACGCCATAGCCATGGGGAGGTAAGCATTCCAATCATTGAAACAATAATAATGATAATGTGTTCACGCAATCTACGGTCATCTTCACAATTGAACCTCGTGTCAACTCTTTCTTACGGTCATCGCTCTTTTTGCAAAGCTTCTGCTGAACTTTGGAACAAACTACCTTTACATGTCAAAACCTGTCAGACTGTCAACCAATTCAAAACTTGGCGACACATTTATTCAAAATTGCCTTTGATGATTAACTTACTCTGTTCACATTGATGTATATTCCATATGTATTGTAATTTGAAGGTTTATTTGTAATTTTTTGTTTAATATATAATTGTTTGTCATTGTATTTTGTTTGTTATAGTGCTCAGAGACTTTGTAGGAAAGCACTTTATATGCACCGTTTGTCATTATTATTATTATTTATATAGCGCTCTTACGCATTTAGTTTCCCAGTGCTTTACATGGTATGAAGGTGGTAGAACATAAAATTGTTTCTCATACATGTATCTGCACAAACAAAAAATATGATTTTGAAATTTGAGTATTTGCTGCAAGCACAAGATACGCCCACTGTTCTGGACTGCTCAAATCCCTTCTCACAAATGAGATGAAAAGGAAGCTGAATTGTGATATGATTTCAATATGTTCATTTTTGTATGCAGACCATATATCTATGGGCCTACCAGTCAAGGGGAGCGAATGCAGATTCTGCAGAACTTTCAACACAACCCTGCTGTCAGCACAATCTTCATCTCCAAAGTAAGATTTCTCTGCATGTTTTCAGAAGCAACTATTACTTTGTGATAAGTCTTGTATGTAGCAATATAGCAATCATATCATATTATCTTAACCTAATTGTCTGCATTCTTCTTTCGTGTCCATCATCTGATCTCAAATGATCTCAAAAGGCCCGCTAAGCCCACTTTTCAGTAAAGCTGCCAAAGGGAATCTTATCCTGTATAGTCGCTAAAAAAATCAATGTATTAGAACAAATAATACTTCAATGAAATAACGTTGAATTCATATCATTTTTAGGGCCCCTTAATTCTTGGAAAAAGGTGTTTTAGGTGCCCATTTTTCTAAAAGGTCTATTTTTATATCAGCGTTTCATGATGTAATTGTATTGTAGAATATGGGAATTTCAAGTGATCATAATTCTGATCAGGGAAATGCTACTTCTGTAAGGTTAACAGAGTCTTTGACACAGGTGCCCATTATGGAAATAAAGAGCCCAAAATGGTAACTGAACTGGCATGCAAAATCTTTCTTTGCAAGGGTTTGCTTGTTCCACAATATAATAGGCACCCGATATTTAAGAAGGAGCCTTTAAATATCGCCATCTTTTCTATCTATCTGTATTGTTGAATCCACTCTGTATCTACCTCTCATTTTCTGTCTTGTTATCTATTTCTTTATTTGTCTGCGTGTCTTCCCAGGTAGGTGACAATTCCTTTGATCTACCTGAGGCCAACGTCTTGATCCAGATTTCATCTCATGGTGGTTCTAGAAGGCAAGAGGCTCAACGTCTAGGTCGTATCCTCAGAGCAAAGAAAGGTGATCTCATTGTAATATCTGGAGAGTGTGTTTCACAAAGACTAAGATTGACCTTAAGTTGGACTTAACTATGGCAGGCCGTTCATGCAACTATTTTCTCTCATCATTTTACTGGCATTGATTTCTCAAGGGACGTACCAATCGTGGTAAAAAATCTACATTTCATGATAGTTCATTATTGAAAGAAAAAATACTATTATCTAAAGTTCATAATTGAAAGAACGATGGTGAGAGCAACCAGTGGCATGAACAGCCTGCCATAGTTAAGTCCATCTTAAATTCGATCTTAGTCTTTGTGAAACAACCCCCCTAGCAAGATTTTATATGAATAAGCCATATTTGTCCCAAACATAGACTGAGAACGATATATCTTTTCAAAATGAACAAACCTTTTTTCATTTTTCCTTTGTTAAATGTGAGCTTAGACTCAGGGAGTCAGGTTTAACTGAATTAGTAGAATACAGACATTAGTATCTTGAAATCTATTTTCTAAAATTCAATTATCTTTCTTTACAAAAAAAACAATTGGCTGGTATGTTGAAGACAATGTTGTGTTTTTTTTATACAGGTTCCATTGCAGAGGAATACAATGCGTTCTTCTATACACTGGTCTCACAAGACACCCAAGAGATGTTCTATTCACTCAAGAGACAAAGATTCCTTGTCAATCAAGGATATAGCTTCAAGACTATCACCAAGCTAGCTGGCATGGAACAGGTATTCCAGTCAACAGACCATTTTTATGCCTCCGCCACCGAAGGTGGTGCCGAAGGCATCATGTTTTTCGGGTTGTCCGTCCGTACGTCCGTACGTCCGTCCCGTTTGACCGTTATCACAATATCTCAAGAACCATTTAAGATTTAAACTTAAGACTCGGGAATAGTATTTATCACCATAGGAAGATGATCTGATTAGATTTTGGAGTACGTAGGTCAAAGGTCACAGGTCACAGAGGTCAACTTATGAAATTCCTTGGATTGAGTTTGTTAGCGCGATATCTCAAGAACCATTTGAGATTTAAACTTCAAACTTAAGGATAGTATGTATCACCATAGGAGGACGATCTGATTAGATTTTGGAGCACGTATGTCAAAGGTCAAGGGTCACAGAGGTCAACTTATGAAATTCCATACATTGAGATTGTTATCATGATATCTCAAGAACCACTGGAGATTTAAACTTCAAACTTAGTGATAGTGTGTATCACTATAGGAAAACAATCTGATTACATTTTGGAGCACGTAGGTCAAAGGTCAAGGGTCATAGAGGTCAACTTATGAAATTCCATACATTGAGATTGTTATCATAATATCTCAAGAACCACTGGAGATTTAAACTTCAAACTTAATGATAGTGTGTATCACCATAGGAAGACAATCTGATTAGATTTTGGAGCACGTAGGTCAAAGGTCAAGGGTCACAGAGGTCAACTTATGAAATTCCATACATTGAGATCGTTATCGCGATATCTCAAGAACCACTGGAGAATTTTCACTTCAAACTTAAAGGTAAAGACCAGTAATGGTCATGCGATTGCATTGTGAAAGAAACGTTGTGGAATCGATCAGAAAAGGTTGATCATCTAGCATCTAGCATCTGCAAGGTTCTGGAATCATCAAAATGATAAGAAATTTGGCCCATTCTTCGTAAAGTTACAAGCACTATACACAGAAAGATGTATATGGGACTACCCTATCTCTCTCACACGACCATGAGAGAAATAAATTTACCAAATATATGAATTAGTAGGCGGTTTCCCGGCAAATTTTTTATCATCATGTATTAGTCAAAACATATTCTTTCACATGATTGGTAATGAGAGCTTCCATTTCATTTTTTGAAATTGGGGCGTTACCAATACTGGTCTTTACCTTTAATGATAGTATGTATCACCATATCATAATATCTCAAGAACCACTGGAGATTTAAACTTCAAACTTAATGATAGTGTGTATCACCATAGGAAGACAATCTGATTAGATTTTGGAGCACGTAGGTCAAAGGTCAAGGGTCACAGAGGTCAACTTATGAAATTCCATACATTGAGATCGTTATCGCGATATCTCAAGAACCACTGGAGAATTTTCACTTCAAACTTAATGATAGTATGTATCACCATAGGAAGACGATCTGTTCAGATTTTGGAGCACGTAGGTCAAGGGTCACAGAGGTCAACTTGTGAAATTCCATGTCTTCAGCTCGTTATCGCGATATCTCAAGAACCATTTGAGATTTTAAACTTCAAACTTAAGGATAGTATATATATCACCATAGGAAAACGATCAGATTAGATTTTGGAGTACATGTATGTCAAAGGTCATAGAGGTCAACTTGAAAAATTCAGACTACATGTATAGGACTTGTCATGATATGTCAAGAACCACTTGAAATATGTTCCGTTACTTAACCCGTACTTAACTGGGCTATTTTGAGCACCTCCCTGACTGGGGGGGGGGGGGGGGGGGGGGGAGGGGCCGATTGCCTCGAAATTTGGCACGCGTCTTGAGAAATTGCGCAAAGGAAGAGACCTCACTATTATTTTGCTGAAAATTGCTTATTTTATCAATTATGCTAATTTATGCAATTGCATAAAGGAAGAGACCTCACTATAATTTTGCTGAAAATTACTTATTTTATCAATTATGCTAATTTATGCAAATCAAATTCATGAATAATGATTTTTATTAACAATTACATAAATAAAGCTTTTACAGAGTTGATTTTGTGGCAAAAAGTTTCTAAAAAGCCTATCGGGCATTATCACATAAAAAAATTGTCCATGTCTATTTCAATTCTTATGTATTTCATTGTTTTATGAACTTCTTTTGTATTCTATTGTTATTAATTCTTAATCTTAATTGTTTTAGGACTTCTGATACTTGAGGTTGTTACGTATCAATATTTTGCTTGAATAAATGATAACTAAACGCTAAAGAGTAAAATTATGCTGATTTATAGACCAAACTAGAAACTTCACTTTGCCATTCATTTTGTACACAAAATGACAAATTTCTCAATTTTCGGCTTGACCTTAGGTCACAATAGGTCAAGTAACTCTCTAGTTTAAATTGCTCTATGGCGGAGGCATCATTTTCGACTGCGCGCAGTCAAAATTCCATCTAGTTTAAATCAAATTTAGTGCATAAATCTTTGTAAAGTGCCATGTTACAAATGATTTCATTCACCTGTTATGAATGATTGCATACCGGTACATAAGATGTGGCTAGGTTGGACATTCAATATTGTGTAGTGTGTTCATATGAATGTATGAATTGTATGTCTGCTAAAGCATTCGATATTGTGTAGTGTGTTCATATGAATGTATCAATTGTATGTCGGCAGAAGCATCTTATAGTGTATAGTGTGTTCATATGAATGTATCCACTGTATGTCGATAGAAGCATTCAATAGTATAAAGTGTGTTCATATGAATGTATTAATTGTATGTTGGCAGAAGCATCTTTTAGTGTATAGTGTGTTCATATAAATGTATGAATTGTATGTTTGCAGGAGAACCTGAAGTACTCCACCAAACAGGAGCAGCAGCAGCTCTTACAGCAGGTACTAGCTGCTACTGACGCTGATGCGGAAGAAGAAATAGTACCTGGAGATCTCAAAACTGGCTCTCGGGTAAAACTACCACTCTCTCTCTCTCTCTCTCTCTCTCTCTCTTACTCTCTCTTACTCTCTCTTACTCTCTCTTACTCTCTCTCTCTTTCTTACTCTCTTTTTCTCTCTCTCTCTCTCTCTCACTCTCTCTCTCTCTTTGAGAAAAGGCTGTTGATATATTATCCAGTCAAAAGAACCCATATACAGGAATTAAGGAAAAGGTAAAGGAAAGAGTTTGTAATGGAATGAACTTTTGCATTAAACACTTACGTTAACCCCCCCCCCCCCCTCAAAAAAAATATATATATACTGAGCAAGTGTTTAATACAAAACTTCATTCCATTGTCATCTCTTTCCCTTTGACATGATCTTTGTTATTCATAAACCAATAAAAAAAGAAACTGTGTTATGACGGATAAATCAATCAATTCAAGTAATACCTCTAATTAGTGGGTTCTTTTGATGAAATAATATATCAACAGCCTTTGCAGTATGAAAGGCTACAACATTATGTTACCACAAGCATACAATCCTGAATACTTACTCACCATGGAAACATACAGAGAACATCGAATGTGCTAGTTATTGGTCCTGTAAATGAAATAAGCGAGATCAATAGCCAAATTTCTTCATGTATTCCATAACCTTTCAAATTTCTGCTTATAAAGTCAGGTGCCAAGTACTCTCTTTATACATGTGATTTGTCTCTTCTGTAATTTTGCCTTCTCCTCTTTGGTTTCATTGTGACTTCCTTCTCAACTCATTTTGTCTTGATCCGTCTCTATTCTGGCTAACTTGTAACTTGTCCTCATTTTCCTTCCCTTCTTTTCTCCCTGATTACATGTAGGTGGTTCGTCGTGTCGGTAACATGAGCTCAATGTCCGGTGCTGATGATCAAGTCTACATGGAATACCAGTCAAAGAACAAGAGTGTGCATCCACTCTTCAAGAAATTCAGAAGGTGATACCAGTTCTACAAGAGACTAGTGATGCTATTCTGAGATGCCATATGAAGAACTGACTGGATGCCTTGGCCTAACTCATCTAAAAGTTGTACATTGGAACCTACATATAAAGACTGCTCGAGGGAGACATAAAAAGTGGTCTTTATAGACAGGTGGCTTACGCATCTCATACCATATGAAAGACAGACTCGATGCCAGGGCTTACCGATCTCAAAGTTGTACAGTGAAGCCTGCATATAAAGGTCGCTCAAGGGAAAAATGGAAATTGGTCTTAATAAGCAGGTGGCTTGCTCATCTCATACCATATGAAGGACAGACTCGATGCCAGGTCTTACCGATCTCAAGTTTGTACAGTGGAGCCTGCATATAAAGGTCGCTCAAGGGAAACATGAAAATTTGTCTTTATAGGCAGGTGGCTTACTCATCTCATACCATATGAAGAACAGACTGGATGCCATGGCTCACTCATCTACAAGTTGTACAGTGGAACCTGCATATAAAGCCCGCTCGAGGGAAGCATGAAAATTGGTCTTTATAGGCAGGTGATCTTTTAAAGCAGGTTTGACTGTACTAGATTACGGAATGTGTAATTACCTTTACTAACAAACTTGCTTGTTGTTCATTTGTAAAAGATTTGGAGACCATATTCATGTTGATCAATGATAAGCAGTCGGTGTGGCTCAGTGAGTAAAGCAGATATCTCGCAACAGGGTTGTTTCCACTAAAAAACTAAGTTAGTAGTTGAGGTTTTATTTGACTGCTAAGAGAAGCCCCTGTATCAAGTAAGCAAACAAGGGGACCAGCAGCTTTTAGTTCTCTTATAGGGATCAAAGGGCACCAGTGAATCCACTTGATTTCTAATCTGGATTTTCCCGGTTACGAGACCACTGCTCTACCGCTGAGCCATCTCGCCCAATCAATTACCAAGTCTACAGGATAGGACATGAAGCCATGGGTCCCCTGGTTGTTTATCTAGTAGCAAACCTGCTTTGGTACCAGCCAGACAATATTATCATCGGTTTATTACTGTTTGGTCTACAACCAGTTCGTCTAATATCCACATGGTGTAATAATCATTTTGTCCACTTATCATTTGGTCCAATGCCAATTTAGGCTAATATTCATTTAGTCTAATCTTCAATAAGTCTATTACCCATTTGGTCTATTGCTCATTTAGTCTATTTTCCAGTTTGTCTTATGCCCGTTGTGTCTACCGGTACTATCCTTATGGATTGATAATCAACTAGTAAGCAAATATTAATCGACTACGAGGGTAATGGTGCAAACTATCATCGCTGAGGTGATCTCGGGACTACTATCTTCCCGAGCCGCAAGGGAAGATGGTAGCCCCGAGATCACCGAGGCGATGATAGTTTGTATCCATTGCCCGAGTAAAGGAGGTTAATATTTGTTTTATATCCCACATCGGCAATAAGGTCTATTTAAAGTGAATTTTACATAATAAGAACTGATTCTGCAGACAGTTTAGCTTCAGCTAGATTTTACAAAGCGCAACATGCATACATGTAATACAGTCGATGCGAGCTCATTTGACATTGACATTGACTGACATTTCGCGTAACCTACTTTGCTATGCGTATTCAATGGGCAAGGGTGGGCAAGTGGGGTAGCAGCAAAAAATTACTTTACAATAAGTACTATCTCAGGTAGATAGTACTTATCTACACCTTTTTCATGCTCTGTACAATCGCAATGCAAACAACTATACATGAGGGATATAATTATAAATAATGGTAATCATCAATTGATTATTATTGGGTAGTAGACGAACTGGTTGTAGACCGAATGGAAATTCATCTTATAATCAACTACAGGTAGTACAAGAAATGAATTCTAATATGGAGATGCATCTTATATGTACTTGTATGAATTCTCCCTGCTTGCTGATAATTATTATGATTCTCATATTGATAGCCATTATACATTGTAGGCCCATGTTGAGACTGATGCATTCAAGCGTAACGTTTTTTACAGTTTAAAGGCCAATTCAGTTTTGGTGAGCGAAAGAATGTGAACATTAGAATCATAATTTGTAAAAGTTATCATGTGACTGATGTAAGGTAGGACAACTCTTGTTCTGTTTGTACACTCAATTATGAGAATTTACCAATGTCTCTAAAGAAAGACCTTTTCCTTTACAGCTAGCATTTGTATTATGAACATGAACAAGATTTCTCATCTACTGTACATACCTGAAATAAGTTACATTCTTCTTGTATTTACGTACATGTTGTGTATTTAGAGAGATTGTTCTACATAAAATGATACAAATGTGTACTGAAAACTTGTTCCAAATTTTACGAGGTAATTTTGCTGGTCCTGACTCTTTCCTTTTTCATTCTTTCTTTACACTGATATGACCAGGTAATTTTCAAGGTTCCTGTGATGATGTTGTTATAATCAAGTTTGCTCTGTATAGTGACAATGTACATGTAGCAATATGTTAAAGAGATTAGGTTGCCTTTTAAATACAGGACTATTCATATTATTATGATTTGTTCATTTTGCCAACACGATCATGTTTTTATTCTTTTTCATAAAATGCATCTTATGAACATGTCCCACTGGAAACTGGAGCCCTACACGGGATGTTACTCTATGTTGTGTGTTCATTACTTTTTATTCAGTTTTTCCACACAATTCATTCTTTTGATATTTAAATGACACAAGAATAAATTATTGTGACACAATGAAAATTCAATTGTACTGTAGTCTGTTGCAGGGGTTACAATAATACTTTAGTACTTTATCGACGGTATAATGAGTAAATTTGACCTGGGCCCCCGTTTCATAAAACTTAAAAAATCTGCAAGTTTAGAACTACTGTTAAAGCTACTGCTATCGTCATAAATTGACTGGCTGTGAATGAATTTGTTACAGATATACACTTGTTACTGATGAAATGTTTTGTGAAACAGGGCCTGGATCTGAATGAAGAGGGAGCTTTGTGATATGTTTTATGAAAGAATAACTTACCTTGTACAATATACATTATTATCCACAGCAATTGTTTTACAATACATTTTGACATGGATAGCACAAAATACAAAGAAAATAGAAACCACATGGAATGCCCAAGACAACATTATGAATGATTCATGTAGAGCTCTGTAGATAGCATTGAAAAAGTTACAAATCATTACATCAAAGTACAAACATGTACATTTTGACATTCATATTCTTTCAAAATATTCCTTTTTGAGAATTGAAATTTGGGATGCAGTACATACGAGACTAATATTGATTGCTGAATTTTTTTAAATAATTATTTTTTCTTTTGTTTTCGGGGAGGAGGGGGGTCATTATTAAAACTATAGCTCCTCCGTGATCTCAAAACTGTACTATGCCCCTAGACTTCGTCTTGGTGCACAGTACAGTGTTGAGATCCCTTGGGCAATTGTTTAACCGTACCTCTCTAAGCAGTGTTGGGCAACTTGATTTCAGGGTGGTATATTTCCCCTTTAATGCTTCTGTTGATCTACTGATCACAGTTTTAATGCTTTAAAACCAATGTATGTGTTTTAATTCATATTCTGTTTAACAGGTCCTTGCAGAGCAAACAAGGTATTCTAAAACTGAAATATAGAAAACTAAAACTAAAAAAGGACCGGTGTGTTGGCTCAGTCAGTAGAGCGTCCGCCTCACAAACGGGAGGTCGTGGGTTCGAACCACGGCCGTGTCATACCAAAAGACGTTAAAAGACGGGAGTTGCTGCTACCTTGTTTGGTGTTCAACCATAAGGGATAGAGCAACGTCGATCTGGCGCTGCTCAATGGCTGCCGGGCTCACAATTAATTGGGCAAAAGAATTTCCATTTTTGCTTTAACTTAATAAAATTTGGAGTGGACTTTAAAAGATTATTATTATTATTATTAAATAAAAAATATCAAACAAAAGAAAAAGCCAATGTCAAATCGTTCATTGATTATTCTACTTTCAGTGATTTAATAGAAGAATACAAATTACAATGTAAGCATGACATGCGTACCTGATATAACCCACACACCAATGGCTGGTATTCCCTGCATAATTTTATGAACACAAATATTAAAGATAAAGACCAGTTCTGGTCATGCGATTGATTTGTGAAAGAAACGTGAAATCTATTAGAAAAGGTTGATCAAAGGTTGGAAGTATTGGTGTGCACTGCAAGGTTCTGGGATCATCAAAATGATAAGAAATATGGCCCAGTCTTGGTAAAGTTACAAGCACTGTTACACAGAAAGATGGGACTACGCCATATCTATCCAGGCCAGATCGTTCCAATAATTGACCAAATATATCAATTAGTAGGCAGTTTCCTGGCAAAATTTTTATCATCACGTAGTATTAGTCAAAACATATTCTTTCACATGATTGGTAATAAGAGCTTCCATTTCATTTTTTGAGAGGGGGGCATTTACAAAACTGCTCTATACATTTAATGTGAAACAGAGCTTAGTTGAAATTATAATTTTATATTTATAAAATAAAAACAAAACAAAATAAACGTGGAAAAGGACATCATTTCAAAACTCTTGCGTAGTACAAGTAGTAATAAATCATCATAAAAGGCTACAAACCGCATTCTCTAAACGTATTTAGTTCACATGTATTCCAATATCACTTCCAATGACTTGATTTATTATTTCAAATGATGTACTACAATAGAGATGTTCTGAATCATTCCTCTTGATATCAAGATACAGTTTGTTTTTGTTCATTTGATTTTACCTGACTGCTAAGCAATCAGGAGACAGACTGCTTAAAGTCCTCTCCGAGGGACTTGGTATAAGGAGGATTAATGCCTTACCAAAAGGCACTAGTGCATCACCTTGGAGTCTTGGAGTCTTGGAGACGTCTAAGAAATCCCATTTCTATGATAATGGTTTGTCCTTCAACTGTCCCGTAAATGCTTGAACCATAACCTTGACGTGAGTAAAGTCGCAGAAGGGCTGATTGCTTGTTTGCTTGCATCGACACATCAAGTAAGATTTGCTCTTCTCCACCTCAAAGCGAACCGGCTTAAACTCGGTAGGTTTGTGGGCTCCATCACAGAATGGCTGCAAGATACAAAGTAAACATCACATCTCATAAAAAGATACCGGTAAGTGAATATATCCATTCCCAAAAAGTTTAACCTCCTATTGCAACACTTTTACGTAGTTAAGGAGGGTAGTGGTGGTCAATTTACCTGACTGCTAAGAAAGCATAAATGCTTGTAAGTATTTAAAGCAACCAGACGGCCGATGGCTTTAGGTCCTCTCCGATGGACCTGGTAAGGAGGATTAATGCCTTACCAAAGGGCACTAGCGCATCGACATGGTTTCAAACCCAGGTCACCGGATTAAGAGAACACTGCTCTAGTATCGCGCCTCCCATTCTGTATCAATCGATTACACATGCTATTCGGAGATATCCTCTAATGTTTGTCCAAGCAAATAATATTTCTTCAATACCGACAGAGTTGCATACTACAGATAGTTGAGAAAACTGAAAAGGGTGGCAATAAAATGAGTATTGTACTCTTACTAGATTGTTAATGGATTATTGGATTCTATAATAAAATCTGTCATTCCGACAGTCACGATACTAATATTACAAAGCTGAGTTAAAAAGTCAGACGTGTGTTTCAAAACAGGATTCAAAGACAGTAGTTATATTGGTGAAATACTGAACTGATGTGTGGTTTAATAGAAACAATGATGGCCTGACAAATGCTGATACAAACTTTTTTTTAAATAAGGTCTAGCCAAAATTTCTGAAGGGGAAAATGGAGGTTATCAAAGTTCACAGGGGAAGCATCCTTAAAGGGGAAGTCAACCCTCATATCAAGTTGGTTTTAATTAAAGCAGAACAATGAGAGAAATAAATAAGGGAAAGTTTGAGCAATATCCGATTAAAACTAGGTTAGGGACATAAACATATGTACAAGTCAAATTTTCTTCAACTTATGCACAAGTCCAAGATCATATAAGTCGAGGCACTTCTCTGGTCACGACTTACGAAAATCTGACTGTCTTTACTTTGTAAAGAAATATAATTTTCCTTGCGGAGCTCACTGGCCATTTCAGGGTTCTTTTTCCTTTGAAAGGAATTACAAGGTGTAATCCTGACAAATTTTACCTCCAATTCATTCTTGTTTTTCTCATTTACCTGTTTCTTGCTGAGTCCACATTTGCACCAGGAATATTTCTTCCCTGCCTCCAACTTGACCATTGTAGGTATCAGCTTGGATACATACGTTCCTTTAGGGCCGATCTTGATACTCCGTACCTATCAAAATAAACCATTTATGGGACAATGTACGTGCTTAATGTAGTGATAATGTAATTTATTTTAAGGAATAATAATAATAATAATATTGGATTCTTATATAGCGCACGTATCGACCTTGCAAAGGTCCTCAAGGCGCTCCAACATTAACATTGACATTAACATTAACATTAACATTGGTCATATATCCAAATAATCCAATCCATGTATTTATAAGGTGCCAATATCTAGTTGCCTACCGTAATCAAAGGTGCTGATGAGACTGAAAAATACAAAAATATCTGTTCATGATTCTAACTGGGAAAGACAAAAAAGCAGTGACTAATTGTAAGCAATCTGAAATATACTTTATATATGACCAGTGTTTATATACCAATTCCTTTAATCCTTAGAATAAGTTCAAATTGAATCCTATTACATTATTTATTATACACAAGACTATATCAATATTATAACTTCCGGAGCCTACAGTTGTATGACCTTCAAGCATTGCTTTCTCTTAATAGGCTCCATCATATTTCTCCCTTTGTTTAACTTAGTCTATGTATTATTCTCTTTATTTGTATAAATTTTTAAAAAGAAATTAAAAATGTAACATATGGAATAATGTATTATACATGTGAAATATGAAAATAAACTGAAACTGAAACTTTATTTAACCAGTCACTTTCACAGTTATCATGTGATCAAGTTTCAAATAAAATAAGGGGACGTCCACCCTGATATCAAGTGGTTTCAATATCAGCACAAAAAATGAGAGGAACAAATCAGTGAAAGTTTGTGCAACTTCTGAACAAAAGATAAGAAAGTAATGAATTTTTGAAGTTGCAATTATCAATCAAACACAAATTGGCAACTCTGTGATGTATCTTCAATTGTATGTGGTATGACTATATAGTTTGTGCGTGATCTTTCTTAGTTCGCTATCTCAAAAATCTGATACCACCAATGGAAAGAAGAACCTAAAATTACCGAGAGACAAAATTGTCTTTGGAATTGGGTGTCAATTATGAAAATATTGACAAAAGATTGGCAAATTTTGCTGTCCTTTGCATCCGTTTCGAGAAAAAGTGCATTTACCGACAAGGGTCTAACGTTAGGACTAGGAATTATCATAATTCATATCGTGAGAACTTGAAAAGATATTATCAAAATTTTAAATTTAAATAAAAGCACTGACGTACTGATGGGGGGGGGGGGACAGTTGACCCCCCACATAAAATTGAAGCGTGGTTTAGATCTATTTCTAATTCGATACCAGTGATTTAGAAATGTTGCTGAAATGACACAATTTTCAGGGTTTTTTTTCTTCTCACTATTGCCCATTATGCCAGAGGCGGAACTGCTCCCAAAAGCCTCTTTTAACATAGGACAAGTGCCCCTTTTCTTTTCTAATAACTTTCCTTTTCCTCTCATTTAGTCTCTGGTGAGTAGACTCTAATTTTATTCTGGTGCAAGAAATTCCCCTTTTTACCTCTGATATTTTTGCCCTTTTTTACTTTGAATCATGCGACCCTTTTCCTTTTTAATATTAATAAGTGTACTTTTTCCTTCGTAATAAGAACCCCTTTTCCTTTCTCTTAAATGCCACTTTTCACCTCAGATAAGTGCCCCTTTTCCTTTCTAATAAGTACCATATTTCCTTCGGATAAGTGCCCCTTTTCGTTTTTTATAATCTTATGAATATGAAGCACTGACGTACTGATGGGGGGGGGGGGGACAGTTGACCCCCCACATAAAATTGAAGCGTGGTTTAGATCTATTTCTAATTCGATACCAGTGATTTACAAATGTTGCTGAAATGACACAATTTTCAGGGTTTTTTTTCTTCTCACTATTGCCCATTATGCCAGAGGCGGAACTGTTCCCAAAAGCCTCTTTTAACATAGGACAAGTGCCCCTTTTCTTTTCTAATAACTTTCCTTTTCCTCTCATTTAGTCTCTGGTGAGTAGACTCTAACTTTATTCTGGTGCAAGAAATTCCCCTTTTTACCTCTGATATTTTTGCCCTTTTTTACTTTGAATCATGCGCCCCTTTTCCTTTTTAATATTAATAAGTGTACTTTTTCCTTCGTAATAAGAACCCCTGGCAAACCCGGACTTTAGTGCCCCAGCTGAAAATCTCAGTTTATTATGGATTTAATATCAATAATATTAATTATGCTAATATATGCAAATATAAACATACCAAAACTTGATGATTTTTAATCATTTGACGTCATAAAAAGCAATTTTAAGCCAAAAATAGCAGCGAAGTAGGGGATCTCCTCTTTGCTTGATGCGAGATACTAGCGAACTGAAATAACCGAATAAAAACTATGGTGAACTAAAAAAAGAAAAGAAAAAATCAAACCACCTCTGAAATTACCTTTGAAATGTTTATTAATTTTTTCTTCCGATATGCGCACATGATAGGGGCAGGTTGGGATGGGATGGGGGGGGGGTGCTCAATAGTCGCCAAATTTGGGGTAAAAGGGCAACTGGCCTTGGGGGGGGGCAGAATAAAGAAAAAAGCCACCCCGGAAAAAAATTAGAAAAATGATTACAAAGAAAAATAAGTAAATAATAAATTTAGCCCCCCCCCCCCAAGGCCAGTTGCCCTTTTACCCCAAATTTGGCGACTATTGAGCACCCCCCCCCCCCCCATCCCATCCCAACCTGCCCCTATCATGTGCGCATATCGGAAGAAAAAATTAATAAACATTTCAAAGGTAATTTCAGAGGTGGTTTGATTTTTTCTTTTCTTTTTTTAGTTCACCATAGTTTTTATTCGGTTATTTCAGTTCGCTAGTATCTCGCATCAAGCAAAGAGGAGATCCCCTACTTCGCTGCTATTTTTGGCTTAAAATTGCTTTTTATGACGTCAAATGATTAAAAATCATCAAGTTTTGGTATGTTTATATTTGCATATATTAGCATAATTAATATTATTGATATTAAATCCATAATAAACTGAGATTTTCAGCTGGGGCACTAAAGTCCGGGTTTGCCGAACCCCTTTTCCTTTCTCTTAAATGCCACTTTTCATCTCAGATATAAGTGCCCCTTTTCCTTTCTAATAAGTACCATATTTCCTTCGGATAAGTGCCCCTTTTCGTTTTTTATAATCTTATGAATAAGACCCTCTCAGCTCTCGCACTCGCTCGCGCGCTCGATCCCCCTTTTCAACATGCCCCTTTTTACTCACTGGAACTGTCATGACCGTGTTCAACCTGCAGGCACCAGCACCTAGTCGGTTGAGTCCGCAGCTCAAATTCATTGAAGTTCTTAAGATTGACATATTACCGGTGGTGGTAGGTCTATACGTTCTGAAAGTGAAAACGACTTCCCTTTTCTCTGTTTTTTTCTTCAAATGCCTGTGCTGCACACGTACGTGCAAATTTGAGTGCAGTGAAAGTAAAAACTTGTTTACATACGTAAACTTAAACCCCAGGCCCAGTCGCTAATTATTTCGGTAGTCGCAAATAACTCACACAAATATATAAAACGACAGGTTCTTAAGGCTAAGCACTAGCAAGTGTCGATGGAAAAGGAAGAAGATCTTCCGGTTCGTATGTCACCGGTATAGCTATCGCTACAGCTACCGCATAGCAACGATCACTTAGCCCGTGCAACTTTGTTTACAGGCTAGCTAGGTTAACAAACAACAAGGAGAAAGGCCAAAGCCCATCAAATCACGAAATAAAGTCTAGATCTACGCTAATTTATCTGAAGAGGCACTTTTAATTGCAGTGGTGACATTAATCAAGAAAACCATGAGTTCAAGACAAGTATTGCAAGGTAATATTGATTTATTTACGCCTTGATTAAGGGTCAAAAGTCTCATTTTGTACTTAAAGTTGATACAGCAGCAGTCGCCACGCATGGCGCCGCACAGGAGCTCTCCCCCCAGAGAGGAGGCGGCGAAGCTGCAGCTGCATGCCTGTGACCCGTGTACCTAAGTCCAGACCTAACGAGCGATCGCGAGCCCTGCATTAAATCACAAATTATATGATACTTAAATCTAATTTAGAGACAGGTTGTATTCATAAAACATAGACTCTAGGGCATACTCGTGATATAGGCCCCGCAACTGTTTTGAATCGATTATAATTTTATACTACTACTAGGCTTCATGCTTCAGCCAACTCACTATAATATAGACTAGATTCTAGGTCTAGTCTACTCGTGATCTAAGCCCCGCGCAACGGCATTGCGCGCACTTCAACACAGCAGCGGGGCCTGTATCACGACTATACTTATATACTCGTTATATAGGCCCCGCGCTTCGGCATCGCGCACAATTCAACACAGCAGCGGGGCCTGTATCACGAGTATATATTAGCGAGTCTGCTATTCAACTCGCTATATTATACTCGTGATATAGGCCCCGCGCAACGGCGTTGCATGTTCTACAACACGGACATGGGGCCTGTTTCACGACTATACTGTATACTCGTGAACAAGGCCCCATCCTATGCATTTTCAAGACGGACAGCACGGTAGTGGGGCTTCTTTCACCTAAGACAATTTAGGGGGTGTTTTGAGGTTTAATAAATAGAGCTAGCAAATGATTAAAAAGGGTTACATTTAAATGATTAAATTTATCTTTTAGATCTAGACCCTATTTTAATATTTTTCCTTTTTTAATATTTTACCTTCTTAAAGTTAAATAGACTATTTTTCCTTTTTTAATATTTCGTTTTTTTTCTTCATATTATAGCCCCCTCTCTTTGAATTTATCTTTAATTTGATTTTTTTTGTTTTTTTTTTGGGGGGGCCCCGCCCCCCTCTCTTTAAATTTATCTTTTATTTTTAGTTAAATATTTTTCCTTTTTTAATTTTTTTTTGGGGGGGGCCCGCCCCCCCCCCCCCCTCCTCCCAATTATTATTTTAAAAAATAAGTCCCTTTCAACCCCCTATTTAACTCACTTTTATCTCCCTTTTATTGCTGTCCGTCATGAAAATGTTGGCTGAAGCAGACTGAAGTTAGAAGTCTAAGATGATTTGTAATCGATTACAAGACGGGTCAGTTGCGGGGCCTATTTCACGATATTGCCGACTCTAGATACATTGTAGATGTAGTCTACTTCTTAAATTTTTATATGATTATCACAATAAAAATTAATTAAATTTAAAGGCACCATCATCAATCATTGCATCAGCCATCATCAAATGTCATTGCCAATCATATTTATTTCAATAGGGTCTAGATCTAACTTGTTAGACCTAGGGTCTCAGAATCTCAGAATTGGTGTCCAGAAATCACTTAGAAAATAGAAGCACTAACGTCTAGAGTGGTGTCGTGTGCATTTTAAATTGATCATGCACGGTTCTTTTGGAGGCCATAGGGTCTAGATCTAGTTTAAAGGTTTGTGTAGAGTTCAGGTTTTTGACGCCTGGCGGGAGGCTGTTCGAGTCTCTTATTGTACTTGGTATGAAGCTGTTCAGGTACGCGTTTGTTCGGCATTGTAGTAGGACAAGACGATCGGTATTCTCTCTCACAGATCTTGGTGCTTCATGAACATAATCTGGGATATCCACAGCAGCTTCCTTTACCTTTTACCTTTACTGCAAATAATGGAAGAATGCTGTGACAGCCTCCCCAAATAAATAACTGATTTACCATTTAGTTAAACGATATGGTTCATTTTTTTCTTCTTCTTTGAAAAAAAAACTATGCAGTGTTTGAGCAGTATCAGAAAGCCCGCACTACGTTTGTCCAGACAGTTGCGGAGCTAGCGTCAAGACCACAGAATATTGAAACTTTGCAAAATGCAGGTAAGTTTGCACACACACACACAACAAAAAATGATGTTCAAAACTTCAAATGTACATTATAAATTCAATCTGGGTCAACTTGGCACTATAGGGACAATTCACACTCGGCGGATGCTCATGGATGAGTTATCTAAGAGAGCTGAATCAGTTGAAAATACTTGTGAATTTTTTAATTAAGTATGTCTTTTAGATCACCAAATTTAGATTATTTGATAGGAATGTGTAAAGTAGTTAGCTACAGTGTTGAACAATTATATAAAGGGAGATTTTCGCACCATGGACTTAATAGCTATTAGAGCTTGTGTATCTTGCGATTTAACTCTAAAAAACTTATCATCGAGTGAAGCCAAGTTTGCCCTATATTAGTGTTGAAATAGTCCAACCCCTATGGGATACACATGTAACAACATACAGTAGTTTAGGCCCAAGCCTAATATTTCCAATGTAAACTGTGTACGCTATGTACATGTACTTGTATTGACACATTACTACTTTTTTGTTAAAGGTGTTATGTCCCTGCTTCGTCCTCTGCTGCTGGACATTGTACCCACAATTCAACAGACGGCAGCCTTAGCTTTGGGTCGCTTGGCAAACTATAATGATGACCTTGCAGAAGCAGTGGTAAAGGGAGATATTCTTCCTCAACTTGTCTACTCTCTAGCTGAACAAAATGTAAGTCTACTGGTAATTATAACCAAAACTCATTTCCTTTTATGTCCATATACGGTAGTGCAAATTGAGAAGGGGAAAACAAAATTGTGTGGGTTTTTTTAAGAATAGGAGGAAAAACGATTGTCTGCATGAGATTTGCAATACTCATCTACTACTACAACAAGTTAATCATAAAGTGGAGTAGCTAGCCTTCTGACATCAAATTGTGCTGAATAAAAGCAGTAAATGAATGAAGCTTAAGAAATTTTTTTGTTTTTTTGTTAAAGGATGTAAGATCATTACACAAGTTGTTGACTCTGTGAACTTCAAAAATGTTGGTTGAAAACCACAATTTTCCACTCTCATTTTTGCAGAAGCATTTTTTTCCTGAACTTTTTACAATTTATTGATAAATTAATGTTTATTTTTTGTTTCTTTTGTTAATAATGACAGAGATTCTACAAGAAGGCGGCTGCATTTGTTCTTCGAGCCGTAGCCAAACATTCTCCTCAGCTTGCTCAGTCTGTGGTAGACTGTGGAGCGCTGGATGCTCTTGTTATCTGCTTGGAGGAGTTTGATCCAGGTGTCAAGGAGTCAGCAGCTTGGGCCCTGGGATACATTGCCAGACATAATGCAGGTCAGGATCCAACTCGAGTCAATCCAATTCAATTCAATTCAAAAGTGGTTTATTAAACAATATGGTTTGCAATGATAAGCTGAATTGCAGATGTATAAACAAGATTTAAAATATTAATTAAAATGTATTAAAAGTGCATGGCAATATACCGGTATGTCATTGATAAAAATGCTGTCTAGCTACTGATAAAATACATTGTTAGAAATCTGGAGAAAAAAAATTATTTATAAACATTGTCAATGAAATTGAATACTAATACAAATAAAAATTAATTGAAAACACCAATTACTCCATAAAATAAAATTAAAAAGATGGTATCTGTGATTCAGAGTAAAAAAGCAAAAAATTAATGCATTTGGATATGTTGTAAAATGGGGGGAAAGGCCAGTTACAAGTTTTCCATGATGTACATGAGATAAAATTATTTCTTTAGAAACCTTTCTCATTATCAAAGTCAATCTTTATCAAAGTCAATCCAATATATGTAAGTGAAAAATTAGAATTGAACTTGAGTAAATGATATCAGAAAACATTAAAGCTGAAATTTTGTGGGGTAAGACTTGAGAAATGATATGAAATTCATTTTTAAAAATGGATTTCTAGAAAGCTTTTATTTACGAGTATTAATGATTTAAACGTTTTGATTTTTCTTACAGAGCTTGCCCAGTCCGTGGTTGATGCCGGGGCTGTACCTCTGCTCGTTCTATGTATCCAGGAACCTGAGCTGTCCTTGAAGCGAATTGCCGCCTCTGCTCTGAGTGACATCTGTAAGCACTCACCTGAACTGGCTCAGACTGTTGTTGATGCCGGAGCAATCGCTCACCTAGCTCAGATGATTCTCAATCCTGATGCCAAACTTAAGGTCAGTTTCTCCATGTTCTCTAACGATTTACTGTAAAAGCTGTTCTATTTCTCCTCTAATACTTTGATTATCATCGATGGAAAGTTTACTTGAATGTATTTTAAAATGTAGATCATAAGAAGGCATAGTATATCCACAATTACATTATTGCTAACAAAATTGCCAGGAAAGATGTCATTATCAGATACATTATAACTTATACGCACCTCCTTTCATTAGTGTGCACTTTGTGAAGTCCAATGATCCAGTGTTTTGATATGTTGCAAATTATACATTTGTAGGATTTTGAGTAACTTCTATTAAAAGCAACATCAAGTCCCCCAGTGCCGTAGACATTACACTGATTCAACATGAAAATCGTCACCATCATCTAATACCTTGCTTCAAATTTGCACATTTCTCAAAATTATATGAATGTACCATCTGAAACATGAAAAAAATCAAATTATTAGATTTTAAAGAAACTTTGTTTGGAATAATCACAATCATAATC